TCTAATCCCATTTTAAATCCAGATACCGTATTTTTCGCTCGATAAGGCGCACCCGACCATAAGGCGCACCTAGTTTTTAGAGGGGGAAATCAAGGAAAAAAATATACCTCCCGCAAAAGCCCGCAGGAGCCACGCACCCTTTAAGGAGCGTGCGGCTCCTGCGGGCTTTTCTATGAGGAGGGAGAAGGGACTGACTGGCCGCATCAGTCCCTTCTCCCTCCTGGGGAAAAGCCCGCAAGAGCTTGTGTGTGGCTCCTGGGGGTTTTTCCTGCCTGCCCCCCCCATTTGCTCCACAAGACGCACACACATTTCCCCTTACTTTTTAGGAGGGAAAAAGTGCGTCTTATGGAGCGAAAAACACGGTACATCTTCTAGTTTTAACCATGTGCTGTGATGCTCTCCCCATTTGTGGAAGGCTGTCCCCAACGGGGAAACTTCCTGAGCGTTTTATGCTTTAGCCATCCATGCCAGCGGTGCCAGTTGAAGAGTCCTGCCTGCATTTCTGCCTTTCCCATTTCGTCATCTAAAAAACTGAACAGCCAATTCCATCCCGGTCTCATCTCTTAGCTCTTGTAATTCGAACCCAGAGAATGTTCCATTTACCTTTGATGCTGTTGGAAGGAAGGGTAGCGTTCGTGCTGTCAGAAGAAGCTTGCATTTCCTCAGCCCAACTTGAGGATCAATTCAGCATCCTATATCAATTACTTTTACTGCTATGCAAACACAGTTTTCCGCATGAACTCCACTGCCCTTGAAAACAGGTGGTGTGGCATGTTGCACGTTCAAACTCTCTCACAGTAACATCCAAACTCCCTGGACACGCATGTTACTTTTCTGGATGCAAGCAGCAAAAAACTGAAAACAACCAACTACACACTCTATGGGACGTGGGTGTCGCTGTGGGTTAAATCACAGAGCCTAGGACTTGCTGATCAGAAGGTCAGCGGTTCGAATCCCTGCGACGGGGTGAGCTCCCGTTGCTCGGTCCCTGCTCCTGCCAACCTAGCAGTTCGAAAGCATGTCAAAGTGCAAGTAGATAAATAGGTACCGCTCTGGTGGGAAGGTAAACGGCGTTTCTGTGTGCTGCTCTGGTTTGCCAGAAGCGGCTTAGTCATGCTGGCCACATGACCCGGAAGCTGTACGCCGGCTCCCTTGGCCAATAAAGCGAGATGAGCGCCGCAACCCCAGAGTCGGCCACAACTGGACCTAATGGTCAGGGGTCCCTTTACATTTACACACTCTCTAGCCTTGATATGGGATTAATAGCCAACCTTTGTGTATTGTTAAGGCATTTCACACCTGATCTCTTGGTTGGTAGCAGAAATGCAGAATGCAATGACCAGCTTAACCTTTTTTCCCTTTTATTTCAGATCTTTCCAAACACGTTAGTGTGTTGGCTGCAGTGTGTAGGTGTGTCATAAAAACACTCCCTGTGCTTCTCCCAGGGCTGGAAAGGGGTTGGGTTTAACCTGCGGTTTGCTAGTAAAACTGAATTACTGTGTCATGAAATGATGCATGGCTAAAAAGCGTGTCACCAACATGAAATGTTTGGAAAGCTCTGTTTTATTTTCTTCCGATAGTCATTTTAATCATTTTTTTTTTTACTGGATTTGTTGTGATGAAAAGGGAGTAGAGTCATTTATAGTTTCCAGAACCGCTATTGCAATTTTGTACAAGGAAAAATAGAATTACCCACATCTTTGAATCATGCTGTAGACAATTCATTCACTATTAAAAAAATAAGAATTGTCCACTAGGACCAGGTGTTTAGGACTGCTCTTCTTTTGGCACCATAGTTACTGTTTGCATACTTGCCCCTCACTTTACTTAGAATCACAGAATTGCAAGGGACCTCAAGGGTCATCTAGTCCAACCCCTTGCAATGCAGGAATCCCCTTGCCCGACGAGGGGCTCAAACTCACGAACCTGAGATTGAGTGTCTCATGCTTTACCGACTGAGCTATCCTCCATGCCATTGTTGGAAAAAAGGTTGCTGTCTGGGAAAGCTCTTGTGAATGTCAGACATCCTCTGACACCCTAGGGTAGAATGGGAAATCCATGACCCTCCAGATGTTATTGAACTCCAATTCCCATCATCCCCAACCAGCATGGCCAGTGGTCAGGGATGACAGCAGTTGGGGTCCAACACCACTGGCTCCCCATCCCTGCCCTTCAGAATAAGTCCTACTAAACCAATGTAAACCTTTGGGTGGGGTTGATACGCCATTGCCAGTATATGGGTAAAATTTTCACAGGATGGAGTTTGTCCTTCCGCCATCTGCAGAAAGGACTGTGTTATGGACTGAGTTGAATAGGATCCAAAATGCAGCAGTCTGATTGGTCCTAGAACAATAGGATTCAGAATGCAGCAGTCTGACTGGTCCTAGAACAATAGGATTCAGAATGCAGCAGTCTGATTGGTCCGCAGGAGCCACCCAATCCAACTCCGGGTGGAAGTGAATCCGCAACCTCATTGGCCTACAGGGGAATCCCAGAATTAGCCAATCACGTGGGGCCCATTGTGTAAATAATGTATATAAAGCAGACATTTCGGGGGAACTTCCATTCCTCACTACTCTGAGCTGAATAAAGAGCATGAAATCCACACTCGACTCAGAGTATATTTCAGACTGTTTTTTAATTGTGTGATAAAAGCAGTGATCAAAGGGATAGAAAAGGAAGCATGCAGTGGAAGGGAAGCAGGAGATAAGACTAGCCGCTGGGAAGGTGAGAGGGAGGGCAACTGGGTGCCTGTTCAGAGTGAGGGCGTGTGTACGTCTCAAGGATGAAGAAAGCAAACATTGCTGATCTACATGGACTTAGATACTGCAAAATGATTGTTTACGGTGCCAGAGTTCAGCACGGTTGCTGTAAACATAGCCTTGCCCCCAAATGAAGCAGAAATGTAGAAGTATTATCGGGTGCAACAAGAAACAGGAAGGAAGCAGGGATAAAATGCTGGCAGCAGTATACTGTTTCTTCAAGCAACAATAAGATTTGTCACTGTATTAGCGAGTCATCAGTATATTTATATGGAGTGGATAGGCCTCAGCTGTTTGAAGTTTTCAGGATAACAGGAAGAAGACAGACAGTGCCTATCAATCTTCTCAAATATTAAATAGACTTTTAGAAGTAGACCAATAGTAGTTGGGGGGGGTTCGGGGGGGGAATTACAGTGGTACCTCAGGTTAAGTACTTAATTCGTTCCAGAGGTCCGTTCTTAACCTGAAACTGTTCTTATCCTGAAGCACCACTTTAGCTAATGGGACCTCCTGCTGCTGCGGCTGCACGATTTCTGTTCTCATCCTGAAGCAAAGTTCTTAACCTGAAGCACTATTTCTGGGTTAGCGGAGTCTGTAACCTGAAGCGTATGTAACCCGAGGTACCACTGTATTCACCTAGCATAAATGGTTAAAGGCCTACAAGGGCTTGGTCAAATAACTGAAATTTTAAAACAGGTCATTAACATCTCACCTCTACAAAAGAGATAATAAAACTGAATGGAACTTTATTTGTATTCTACAGCTATACTGCTCTGAGGACTACTGTATTTCAACAGGAGCTTTCTTTTGAATAATAAACAGGGTCCTTTTAAATGTTTCTCTTTTTCTGGTCAGGCTGAAGAGAGAGGTTTTAACGTCGAGCTCTGAGCTGTCACTGTAGGTCCGCCCCCCCCCCTTATGCAATCATTGTGAGCAGTTTGCTGCTGTTGGCTTAAAGCTATGAAAGCAAGATGTTACAGGGACTCCGAATGATGACTCAGCAGACAAAGACCAAAAGCTCTTGACTTCAGCTGCCGGCATACAAATGGCAAAATACCGGCTCTTCTGGTTAGACACTAAACAAACTAAACAGAGCTTGCCAAAGGTCTAAGTTCAAATGAAATGATTTTAGCTCTGCTTCCTTTGACATACAGCAGCCTGTTAAATAGCTGTTAAACAAGGTTGTGCCAAGCACATGACTTCCCCTCATACTGAAAATCTGGCATGCTTTTTCGCCAAAGGTAGGGTAGTACTCCTAGTCTTGAGGCATAAAACACAATATTTCCACTTAAAAACATGAGTACTGTAAAGAATTCCTGCTAATTAGGAGCAAGATGGAGATTAGAAACACACATACACCCCGACTCAACAACTCGGATCAGATGATAGATGTTCCAATCTAGTTTACAGATGTTCCTGCTATCATTGCATGTCACATTTGGCCAATGCACAATATATTTAGGATATCAAGTACACAGTGTCCAGTATTTCAAATAGAGGACTGCCCTCTGCAGATGTTGGAAACCGAGGACTGTTCTCTGCAAAGGGGAACACGTGGCCACTTGCTAGCCACCCTCCCTGGTGAAAATGTGAGAAAATATGCCTTTAAACATCTTCATTTGTTGAATTTGTATCACCAACCAAGCCCTTAAGGTAATTCAAACCCAAGTAATACCAGTTTTAATTGCAAGTTACAGCAGAAAATTGTACTTTACATTCTCAGATTGTCTGTTTTGTTTTACTATATAGGCTTGAGGCTATGCATTTCAGCTGTTAACACCACTGAGCCATTTTTTAAAAGAACCTCAATAATTTGAGGTTCTTCTATGACAGGACTTTTCAACTGCTGCAAGAAGATTTGAGAGGGCAGTCTTCTGTTGGAAGGCAGAATTTATCTGCCAATGGAGTGTTACGGATGAAGGGCTAGCCTAGGGATATATAAAGGCGTTGATTTCCCATTTCTCCCTGTATTAGTTGCATGCTGCGCTGCTACTGTTATGCTGCAGTTCGGCTTCCAGCAAAAGCTGTGTTATTAGTCTCGCTGTGATGAGATTTTACATAAAACCATAGCTATTTAGAGTTGCTTTTGTGAGTAAAGCAGCTCATGTAGATAATTATTATTCTGCACTATCCAATTCAAAGGAGACCTCACCTCAATGTAAATGGGGGGAAAACAACATCAATTGCATATTGTTATGCATTGCCAATTGAAAACAACAGTGAATACCACATGCAGTTTATTTTTCATTTCAGTAGTCCATTTTGCTTAAGCCCTTGCAGAGGATGAACCACCTGGCCACAAGCTTTGCTTGTGCAGCAGACATTACATAAACACAATTGTTGCCAGCTCTACAGTTTCAGGCTGCAAGAAAAAAACCTCCGTTTTCAATATACAAGCAAATGGATTTATCCACGTATCTAGAAGATGCAGCTCAACAGGACAAGCACCACGACAGCAGCTGCTGTGGTTTGGATTCGTTCCAGGACAGTCCCCTTCTGTGATGCAGTGCCTAAAAGGAGTTTAAGAAGTATTAAAACCAAGAGCTCCATCTCCCATGGTTCGCTACCCAACCCCTTTAGTAAACGGTGCCATGCATTCATTATGTCCATTACCTTGCAGGGACAACTTTGTTATCTCCACAGAGGGTGCCAGTTCACGCAAGCTTTCATCTGTAGCAGAGGTTAGCTTGGCCACAACAACGTTTTCAGATTTGGTGTGTGGTGCATCATCTACAGTCAAGGGAATAGGCGCGTTAAGGCATTGGCTTGTCAAAGAGTTTGTCAAGAACGGCAACTTTGGAGGCTCAGAGGCAAAGCCGCCATTTTGCTTTTTAAAAAAGCCTTACAGGGCTTTAAAAAGGAGGAAGGAAGGAAGTTACAGTTCCTGTTGCTTTTAACTGCATCTTGATTTGTTCTGTGTTAGCTACAATTAGCCATCAATTACAATTCTGATCTTCACCTCTCTACCGTGGTACCTTGGAACTCGAATGGAATCCGTTCGACTTCCAAAATGTTTGGAAACCAAGGCGCGGCTTCCGATTGGCTGCAGGAAGCTCCTGCAGCCAATCAGAAGCTACATCGGACGTTCGGGTTCCAAAGAAGATTCATAAACTGGAACGCCCACTTCCGGGTTTGCAGCGCTCGGGAGCCAAACCGTTTGACTCGCAAGGCGTTCAGGATCCAAGGTACGACTGTCTTTCCAATCTGTGAGTGCCAGACCTTATGTAGCCAAAACAGCACCACCCACCCACAAACTTTAGAGGGATTCCCTCCAAAAAACAGTCAAATGAGGATTGTTTTTCCTCCGGAGTTGACTGACTGGTGGTTTTTGAATCCTAAATAGCAGCATTACACACTGCAACATTTTGTTTCAGGTTTCACTTGTCTATCCCATTCTGGTCTCAGGACTTATTTGGGTAGACAGCCTCCCTCCCAAGATCCCATTATATGGATTTAGGAAAGAAAATCACTATAGCTGTAGTAATTATTGGAGCAGATTTCTTAGAGCAAAATTGCAAAAGGTGGAGCAGAAGCCATGACTACAGTTACTGAGAGGCAAAAGCCTTTGGGGGAATCTATGGATTCTCTTATATCAAGCCATCTATTTATTTTATTACATTTATATACCATTATTATCTTCCAAGGATCTCAAGGTAATGTACATGGTTCTCCTCATTTCATCCTCACAACTAGACTAAGAGATGGTGAGTGACTGTGGCCCAAGGTCACCCAGTGAGCTTAAAGGCTGGGTGGGGATTCGAACCCTGCTCTCCCAGGTCTTAGTCCATCTCTCTAACCATTATACTACACTGGCTCTCTAAAAGGACCTTACCAGTTGTTGTCACAGCCTTATCGGAATCCAGGAGCCATCCGAGTCCTTCGTCTGCCTTGAGGATAAACTGACGTCCAACTGTAGAGTCAGCCTCAGCTTCTATCACATGAGATTCACCTTTAAGAAAGGAATCACAACAAGACATAAACTGAACTTTCTGGCCCAGCAGTATAGTTAAGTATTTAATAAGTTTCCTATGTACTCATGAACCGCCAGAAGGCCCTTGGCACTGGACCTCAGTGTGTGGGCAGAACAATGGGGGTGGAGATGCTCCTTCAGGTATACTGGACCAAGGCTGTTCAGGGCCTTAAAGGTCAGCACCAACACTTTGAATTGTGCTTGGAAACGTACTGGGAGCCAGTGTAGGTCTTTCAAGACCAGTGTTATATGGTCTCGGTGGCCGCTCCCAGTCACCAGTCTAGCTGCCACATTTGGGATTAGTTGTAGTTTCCGGGTCACCTTCAAAGGTAGCCCCACATAGAGCGCATTGCAGTAGTCCAAGCGAGAGATAACTAGAGCATGTACTACTCTGGCGAGACAGTCCACGGGCAGATAGGGTCTCAGCCTGCGTACCAGATGGAGCTGGTACAGCTGCCCTGGACACAGAATTGACCTGCGCCTCCATGGACAGCTGTGAGTCCAGAATGACTCCCAGGTCCTGACTTCAGGGGCACAGTTACCCCATTCAGGACCAGGGAGTCCTCCACACCTGCCCGCTTCCTGTCCCCCAAAACAGTACTTCTGTCTTGTCAGGATGCAACCTCAATCTGTTAGCCGCCATCCATCCTCCAGAACATAGAACTAGCAAGGGTTTTGTATGTTGTAGCCTCTAAACAAGTACATTCCATGCAAATAGCAAGTTCCCAGCCTCCAGCCCATGTGTCATCAATAGCCCTTCCTTCAAGAAAGATCATTCCACCAATTCCAAAGTAAATATGTTTCACAAAAACTTGAAGAAAACTGATCATTTCTTCCTATCGCGAGGCTTAGATGAGAGGCTTCCATTGGTAAATGGCTTTAAGCTCTCTAGGAATGCCACATAGACATGAAGACGGGGAGGGTGATGAAATTTGTTACCTGCCTTTCACCAGCAAGTCCCGGGTGTTTGTGTGGCAACAATTCAAAATTCAGTATTTTAAAAAGTTAAAACAAGTTGCAGTCACAAGAATAGGGTGGGTCCTGAAAACCAACACCTCAGGTGTCATGGAGAACCTCCTCTTCTCTGTTGGGGGGGCTGCACACCTGTTGTGTGTGGGGCCAGCCCCACAATTTCTCTCTGCACCTCCACTTCTCCATTCAGTCCTCCTTAGGAGGTTGCCTGAGAAGGAACTGATCATTCTTGCCAGAAGTCTGAACTGAATGGTTGCAGAGGGAGCCATGGCTTCATCTGTTTTGACACCTCCCTTGCAATTTTTCCCTTCTTGTCCCCTTCCAGGATTTGCATGAAGTTAGGCGGGGGGCCACAGATCCCCACCCCCACTTATCATAGCACTAAGCTTGATTTAGCCACCCTTTTTACCTTGGTGCATGTCATATTGCATGTTTCCAAGAGGAAAGAAGATTCCACCTAAACATTAGGAAGAACTTCCTGACAGTAAGAGCTGTTCGACAGTGGAATTTGCTGCCAAGGAGTGTGGTGGAGTCTCCTTCTTTGGAGGTCTTTAAAGAAGAGGCTTGACAACCATATGTCAGGAGTGCTCTGATGGTGTTTCCTGCTTGGTAGGGGGTTGGACTCAATGGCCCTTGTGGTCTCTTCCAACTCTATGATTCTATGATTCTAAGCCTTTGATTTAGCAATTTCCTTTCTTACCTTGGGCCCCCAAGTCTGTTTTTTCCACTTCCCCTCTCTGGAGGTCCCAAGGAGCATCGAGGATTAAGAGAGGTCCCACCAGAAGGTCCGCCTCAGCTTCCCCTTCCGAGATTCCAATGATAGCTAGAAGCGAATAACAGAACGAGTTGTTTTAGAGCCTTAAAGCAAGCTTATCCCCGGTGTTAAAGGCAAGAGCTGGTCCCACAAACTTTCTGTGCAATGTGGAAAACAATACTGTACATTTTTTTGAAACCCCGTGCGCAACGGCTTTTACCTTTGAAATATGGGAAATGTATAGCATTGCTCTTAGCATCACTTATGACAACATTCAAGCATTCCCACTCAGTTTAGAGATACAGAAGGTTCCAGAATATCCAGCTAGTGTGTAGTTTGCAGTTCTCAGTAGCTGAGCTACTGCCATAGAGTAAGTTGAGAGCAGGGGTCGGGAGTCTGTGGCAGGCCAGTTATTGTTTGGGTACAAGGTTACATCCATACTATGCACTTATTAATAATTTATTCTTTATACCCCACCCATCTGGCTGGGTTTCCCCAGCCACTCTGGGCGGCTCCCAACAGAATATTAAAAACACAATAAAACGTCAAACATTAAAAACTTCCCTATACAGGGTTGCCTTCACGTGTCTTCTGATGGAAGGGCGTTCCACAGAGATGGTGCCACTACCGAGAAGGCCCTCTGCCTGGTTCCCTGTAACCTCACTTCTTGCAGTGAGGGAACCACCAGAAGGCCCTCAGAGCTGGATCTCAGTGTCTGGGCAGAACGATGGCAGTGGAGACGCTCCTTCAGGTATACTGGGCCAAGGCTGTTTAGGGCTTTAAAGGTCAGCACCAACACTTTTAAACGTACTGGGAGCCAATGTACGTCTTTCAGGACTGGCGTTAAGCCCAAGGCTTCCCCCCTGCCCCATTAGCAAACTATAGTTCTTGGGATGCTTTGGGGGAAGCCATGTGCTTTATAAACATGGTGTAGGATGTGACCCAACCCCCAATTATACCTGGCTATACTGGAAGGAGCTGGTGGCAGGTAGAATCTAACACCACCTGGAGGACCACAGGTTCCCCCACTGCCCAGGTTTAGAGCATACCTGACCCCAAAGTCACTTGTTCCCTCTGTTCTGATGTACGGCGATTGCTGGGGTTGTTTGTGCTGGGCCATCCTTTAGATGATACACAGTTCCCAGTTTCACAGCAGTTGCAGATGTCCTCAGAGCCTTCTACTGGTAGCCAACTGATACATACAAAAATTTCACGTTAGTACTCCTCAAAGCCCTGTCTTTCCCATAATGCAAGCTACGGTACTTACAGGCTTCTTTGGCTGTTGAACGAACAAGCTTTATTTAGAGGATCTGGTCCTTTGTCGGTCGCAACGACTCTCAGATGGCAAGCAATGTAGATCTTGAAGGGAAATTAAACAGGGTCAGAGTGAGGAATGCCACCATCTCACTGTAAATGAAAAATGTAAGCAGGGCCAGCTGTCCAGGGCACAAGACAAAATATGGCCTGCATGGAAAGAAGTGGACTGCACGGCCAGCTGAATCTTACTAAGGACAGCAGGCACTCTTAAGGAGGTGCAGGGTGGATCACCCAGCCTTGCTCATCAACACCCTCGCCATCACTTTTATTCTGCCCAATGGTAGGGCTGGGCCTGGAACCTAGTGAGATGAAGGAGTCCTCTCACCAAGTTCCTTATGTCCCCAGAAAATCTGAAGGCTTCTATGGTGAACTGGAGTGTTTCCAGGCGCGGTCTTGGGATTTTGAAGGCGGATTTCACATCAGGAATTCTCCCGTCGACCAGGCATCTGGATCCAAAGATGGTACAGTCAGAAAAAACGCTTGAGTGTTATTCCAGTGTGGCAATTATTTGGGAATGGAGGGCCCCATTAAAACGTGCAACCCGATCTCATGTATGTTTACGCAGAAGCAAACCCAGGGTGTTTACAGTGGTACCTCGGGTTAAGTACTTAATTCGTTCTGGAGGTCCGTACTTAACCTGAAACTGTTCTTAACCTAAAGCACCACTAATGGTGCTGCGTCGCTGGAGCACGATTTCTGTTCTCATCCTGAAGCAAAGTTCTTAACCCGAGGCACTATTTCTGGGTTAGCGGAAAGTTCGTAACCCGAGGTACCACTGTACTTCCAAGGAGGTGCGTGTAGAACTGCAGCCTTTCAGCACAATCCTCACCATGACCACTCAAAGGCATGTCCTCCTGCATTCAAAGGGACTTACTCCCAGGTAAGTTGAATTAGGATTGCAGCCTTAATTGATTCTAGGTCGGTATAGGCAGGAGTGATTCTGTGTGCATCTCTTCTGAAGGTGGGCAAGCAGACACAAATCCTCTGCTGCCCGTGAGGATTGGGTCACTAACAGGAATTTACCCCCCAAATCCCTATGCTGTTTTTCACCAGAGGGAGCAATCACTGTAACTCCTGGAGTCTCACACTGCTCAGAAATTGGAGTGACATGTAACAGTCCCTTTCCACGGGTTCCACTAAAGCTAGTCAGTCTCTCTCTCAATTCCCGCCCCCCCCCCAATCTTACCCATGGAAGTCAAGAATTGCATATTGTAAGCTGGCATCTTCCTCTGGCGTCTGTTTGGCCACACAGCTATCGACCAATAGCCTGAGAGGTAAATGGTCTCCTTCCCTCTCGACGTCTGCTTGGATATGGAGATAGTCTCCCAGCCAATATCGAGTAGACTCCCTCTCGGCACTCCAGTCATCTATAGTCATCCACAACAAACAAAGGAAAAGAGGAGGAGGATAGAGGAAGACTTAAAATAGTATCTGACAAACTGTCCTCTTCAGGGTTTGGAATCTCCCTTACCAGTCATCAGACGCAAGGAAAAGCGGAACCCTCTTTCCACAGACTTTGTCGAAGTAAAAGGAACCCCGGTGGGCTTGGTGCCATTGTTGCTCACCTTATCTTCCCTAAAAAGAAAAAAAAAATTACAACTCAGTGGCTGTTGACATGCAAGTGGGTTATTGAACTGTGGCCTAAGATGCTCACCTCGGGTAGTGGCACTCAATAGGGATCTCTACCGAGCTGTTTCTTACAATTCCAGGGCTGCTTGCAGAGCTTGGGTTATAGTATAGTCTTGTGTGGTAGAACAGGGAGTCTGCTGTTGTCTGGAATAATAATAATAAGAAGAAGAATTTATTATTTGTACCCCGCCCATCTGGCTGGGTTTCCCCAGCCACTCTGGGCGGCTTCCACAAAGACCAAAGTACACTAACATGTCATACATTAAAAACTTCCCTAAATAAAGCAACCCTGTAGTCTTTAGACAATTCACTTCACAGCAGGTTTCAATATTCTGTATTTTTAGTGTTCAGAGTTATTGCCCGTTACCTATTAATACAAAGTGGCTGGGGAGTGAGCGTAACTAAGATCAGGCTATTTTCACAAGAGATGATTAAGGGCTGGTTTTTGATTTTTACATAACTTTGGTGAGCTGCATTTTCGAGGAACTACATTCCTGGCCAGGGATGGAGGAGAAATTAGAATCAGCTTGTGTTTCAAGATGAAACTAACCAGTCCACGCTTGCCAAGCAATATGTGAACTGAAACAGAGTTGTCCTTTAGAACTTTCACTTCTCCAAATTTCACAATGCAAATTGAAAGTCAAGTAATGTGTATAAGAATGCAAACACTAGCGTGAAGTATGCACATAAATTCATACACTGGTGAAAATGACACAAAACTGCATTATGGGGAAACTGCAGCACAAATGCAAAGCAAAATTCACACTAAAATGTGAGAGCTTTAAAAAAAAAACAACAACCCACAAACTTATGTGGAAATGTAGATAACTGAACTTAGGACTGGAAAAAACAGAAACTGAAATAAACTCAAGTTGATATATTTCCCCATGCCTAATAATGGATTCAAACAAGCACATTTCATGTGATCACTTTTAATTTTCAGAGAAGACACACCTGTAGGGCCCAGCACAAGTTTTCAGTTGCAAATTGCTCCCCAAAGTGTTGTTTACAGGACAGGACAGCCTATTCATTAGGCAGAATAAGGCAGCTGCTTCAGGTTTGGGACATCATAAAAAGGGCAGCAAATTATTATGTAACTCATTATTGCTACACTTTATTCTGCTGGGAAGAGGGAGATATTTCGGCACCTGAGGCAGAAACTCCCACAGGAATAACTCTGTAAAGCAGGAAGCCCCACTGAGTACAACAGGACTTACTCCAAGGTAAAAAGCAAATATTATACATACATATATATATATATATATATACATACATATACACACACACACACACACATATACACACACACACACATACAGTGGTACCTCGGGTTACATACGCTTCGGGTTACATACGCTTCAGGTTACACACTCTGCTAACCCAGAAATAGTGCTTCAGGTTAAGAACTTTGCTTTAGGATAAGAACAGAAATTGTGCTCTGGCAGCGCGGCAGCAGCAGGAGGCCCCATTAGCTAAAGTGGTGCTTCAGGTTAAGAACAGTTTCAGGTTAAGAACGGATCTCTGGAACGAATTAAGTACTTAACTCGAGGTACCACTGTATATACACACACACACACACACACACACACACACACACACATATAAACATATGAAGGATCTTATTTGTACACAAGTCTCACATTACCTGTAGATTGATGCCACACTCCTGAAGCCCCACCTCAAAAACAACCAAGTCAGAAACACCAGCAGAAGTATATCGGCAGCCTTGCAGGCCTAAGTGGAGATCAACAGCTTGGATCAGCTGCCCGGTCCCAAACAGATCTCTGTGAACGGCTATCACCATTTCGTCTTCGTGGCATTGCACCCAAACAGGCTGCAGAGAGCTAGTGGGTAACAAAGTCAAGGGCTGCGTAGGAGAAGGTACATCAGCTTGCCTTGAAGATTCTTCACTAGCGCCATTTTGCAGCTGCCCAGTCACTGGCTTGTGCCTCGAAGACGCCCCAATAGTAGCACAAGCCACTCTCTCAATCACGCAACACAACAATAAGCACCCAAACCCTTTGGAGTACCACATCCTGCTTACGTTATTTCTGAATTTCCACCACCCTAGAGAAAACTACCCAGCAGCAGTCGTTTTATACCTTCTCCCCATTTGCTATCTATTGCAGGCAATGAGCCTCCTTTATAGAACATCAGTTGTTGCCACCCCCCTGCTGTTAAGACATTTTTAACAGGGAACTCCAAGAAAATCAGCTGCACCTGGGCCATAGTATCTGAATAAGTAAGGACCTAGTCCTTTGTGCACTTAGGGTCTCCCCTTGGCTGTTTTTAGGCTCGATGAGGCCCTAAGCTACTGAAGGTAATGGGGCCCTTTATATGTCCAGCTGGCCTTTGTCAACAACAAATTGTTGCTGTTTTTTGTGTTGAATATATGCTATATGGTAATTTGTGGACCTAATAGGTATCTAAAGCCATTTGCACATGTTGCCATACAACCAGTCCGTGCAGAATGTGGGTACCCTATATATAGAAATGAGCAAACCAGTGATATTTTAGGGAGCAGGTTAGCAGGCGGGGCCCTTTACTTACATCATAGGAGCCTACACAACACAAAACACTGTTGCTATATGTAGGTTTTTCCCCCCCTTATATTTTGGAAATGCACATCCAGGTTTTTCCCCTTTAAATTTTAGGGGGCCCCTAAGCTATAGCTTGTTTAACTTATACATAAATCCAGCACTGGTTCTCCCCCAAAGCCATATGTGTGTATAGATAGATAGATAGATAGATAGATAGATAGATAGAAAACTCACACACATACAACTCAAGGTAACTCTCGATACATCTGTTGAATGGCCCCTTATGCCACAATAAATTTGCAAGTCTTTAAGTGCAACAAGATTCTTTGGTATTCAACTGAATCTCACTCAGAGTAGATCCACTGAAATTAATGGACATGACTAGGTTAAAGGTAAAGGGACCCCTGACCATTAGGTCCAGTCGTGGCCGACTCTGGGGTTGCAGTGCTCATCTCGCTTTATCGGCCGAGGGAGCCGGCGTACAGCTTCCGGGTCATGTGGCCAGCATGACTAAGCCGCTTCTGGCGAACAAGAGCAGCGCACGGAAATGCCGTTTACCTTCCCGCCGGAGCGGGTACCTATTTATCTACTTGCACTTTGACGTACTTTCAAACTGCTAGGTTGGCAGGAGCAGGGGCCGAGCAACGGGAGCTCACCCCGTCGCGGGGATTCGAACCACTGACCTTCTGATCGGCGAGTCCTAGGTTCTGTGGTTTAACCCACAGCGCCACCTGTGTCCCTTATGACTAGGTTAGAGCCACTCATTTTGATGAGCCTTTTCTGAGTAAAACTTGAATGCCACCCTTGGTTCTTTTTTTTGCTGCAAGTGGCAACAGGCGACTCCTATGGAAGTTGTTGCTCAGACTCTTTTAACGCTTTGGGACTTATTTTGAAGAGAACATGCCTAAGACCACCACACCACTAAAACCTTACTGCAGTTGTGGCCAGTTAACTTTTTGGCATTCTTATTTTTCCTGATTGTTCAAGAGGTGCTTTTTAGGTACAGAGGGTGGTTTTCCAGATAGCCTCTAGAACAATTAAGCAGGAGCCTGTCTGGAGTAGCAGCAGCTGCAGGAGGCAAATGTCTGTCTTGAGGATCAGAAGACTTGCATAAAGGCATCTTCAGTTGGACATGAGGAAACCAGGCTGGCTGTTCTCAGGGCTGACCTAACCATAAAAGCAAGCAAGGAAACTGCCTGGGGTGCCAATATGGCAGGGACACCTATTTCAATTATGTAGTGTTTGGGAAATAATAATACAATAATAATAATTTATTATTTGGACCCCGCCCATCTGGCTGGGTTTCCCCAGCCACTCTGGGTGGCTTCCAACAAAGATTAAAAATACATCAAAATGTCACACATTAAAAACTTCCGTGAAGAGAGCTGCCTTCAGACGTTTTCTAAATGTCAGGTAGTTGTTTATCTCTTTGACATCTGATGGGAGGGCGTTCCACAGGGCGGGCGCCACTACCGAGAAGGCCCTCTGCCCGGTTCCCTGTAGCTTTGCTTCTCGCAGTGAGGGAACCACCAGAAGGCCCTCGGCACTGGACCTCAGCGTCCGGGCATAACAATGGGGGTGGAGACGCTCCTTCAGGTATACTGGGCCAAGGCTGTTTCGGGCTTTAAAGAGAGTCACTGGGTGCAAAAAGGTTGTTTAGTATTCACTGGCTGCGTGCTGCTTGTTCATTGTAAGGGGTGTGATTGAGGACCTCGTAGAAGTTTCTGGAGGCTCTTCAGAGGCAGACCCTTGCACTGCAATCAGTGGTGATTTTTTTTTTTTGTATGTGTGTCGGGAAATAACTGCATTGCAATCAGCTGTGATATTTTTCGTTAGCAAACACAGCCAGAGATGCCAGCTTCAGAGAGTGATGTTGTGACGTTGCGACATCGCAGTGAGCATCACGCCTCCCTCCTTAAATTGGGCAGAAGCTTCCTAGGCTTTGGGAAAGAGGTGCCAGGATTTAATCCTCTAATTTACCAGGAACGTTTAGGGGCCAGCCCAGTCCCGCTAGTCCACTGACTACACACCACAGATTGCAATACAGTGGTACCTTGGGTTACAGACGCTTCAGGTTACAGACTCTGCTAACCCAGAAATAGTACCTTGGGTTAAGAACTTTGCTTCAGGATGAGAACAGAAATTGTGTAGCGGCAGCAGTGGGAGGCCCCATTAGCTAAAGTGGTACCTCAGGTTAAGAACAGTACGGACCTCCAGAACGAATTAAGTTCCTAACCTGAGGTACCATCCAAAAAGGATGTCCTTAAGGGCCTTCTGATCTTCACTAACCATAACCATTGCCAGTCCTAAAATATCAAAAACTTGTAGCACAAGAGACAAATAACAGCAGAAAACGATGTGCTAAAAAGCTGGGTTAGTTTAGCAACATTCCTCAGCTCAGCAGGTCAGATAGCAGTAAAAAAAATTAAATGTTTCTACGTGGCAGTGGATGGCTAAGGGCTACAGAGTCTGTCCTTTAATTAGGCAGAGGGAGGCAGTTTTACGAATGGGCAACAAACCGTTAGCGATTTAATTTATTATTGCTGTGCTTTTTACTACCAGGGAAGAGGAAACACACTTACGTAGAAAGCTGGTTCATAGTGAGTCAGGCTGTTGGTTCCTCAAGCTGGGTATTGTCTATGCTAACTGGAAGCGGCTATGCAGGGTTTCTAAGAAGTGACATTCACAGCCTTTCTCTAAGATTCTGAGGACATCATAGCTGCTCTCCTGCTGTGCTATGATGACCCTTCGCTTTTTCTGGGATTTTCTGCCTCAGGTGCCAGGAACGACTTGGCCTTGAGTTGGAGGGTGGGATGTCGTTGCCTGCTCCACCTCAGATTTGAACTGGAGCCTCACTGACTTGTTTGGATTAAGGTGCACATGCCCAAATGATGCCCCTTCCAAGGCAGACTGGTCTACACCTGCAGAGATCCAGCCCACCCTGTCCTGTCAGCTTTTGTGAGCACTCAAAAGAGAACATAGAAGTACGGGCGGGGGGGGGGAGGGGACAGAGAACAAAGATTTGATGATGTCATGTAAGTTCCCCATAAAAGTGTGTGTGTGTGTGTGTGTGTGTGTGTGTGTGTGAAATTCTAGAGTGAAGTAGTGTGGAAATATTCTTGGTTGATTATTTCTGAGATTTGAAGGAATAGAGTGACCTCTAGTGATTAAGTTGCTTTTTCATCATTTTGGATGTTTTGGAACATCCATTTGCTATATAGACAGTATTTGTTCTGCATGCTTTGTTTGGGGTCATTCATTATGGCCGAAATGGGTTTTGTTATCCTCCATTAAGTACCCTGGTTAATTATGAAAAGCCCACAGGTAACCATATGAATTCCAATTGTTTTTTCATAGGGTACATTTCTGGGTTTCGAATAATCCAGAGGTATGTGAGCCCAGAAGTATACAAACTTTTCCTTCAGTTTCCATAAATGGAAAAACAGTGGCAAATCCTCGAACATTTCAATACTTATGAAGTCAGAAGAAGTCAAGAAGGTATTTATCAAGCGCAATATGATTTGATGACCAACTGGATATTTGAAAATAGTTAACTGCTACTGCCCTTTAACTGATTTACCCACTACATAGAATTGGAAGGGACCCTGTGCAATGCAGGAATTTCAACACGACATGGTCCCCCATCCAATTTGAAAACATACTTCACTTTGCAAATGTCCTAGCAGTTTTATTGCTGCACCACTAAATGTACACATTGCAATATGTACATGCCTACTGTTTGAGAACTCTAGAGGAAGGAAACACCTTTTCCTTTTGTTTATGTAGTTAAGGCAAAGGATCCCTGGATGGTTAAGTCCAGTCAAAGGTGACTATGGGATACAGTGCTCATCTCGCTTTTCCGGGCCAAAATCACTACTGGCGCACAAAACACAGGTCAGTTTCACCTGGGTAGGAAGCTTCAAAGGCAAATGAATGGCCTGCAGGACAAACCATTCCTATGTTTCTTTTTCAACATATTTGGCACAGGGGGAGGGAGCTAGAAAACCTATACAGATTGCATGGGATCAGGGACTTCAAAAGTCCTGTCTAAGTCCCATTGAAATTGTGGGAACTGTGCAAAAGCTTCCATTCAATAGAACAGGGGACAGCAAAATTTTCAGCAGGGGGATAGTCCACTGTCCCTCAGACTTGTGGGGGGCCAGACTATATTTTGAAGGGGAAAAAATGAACAAATTCCTATGCCCTACAAATAACCCAGAGATGCATTTTAAATAAAAGCACACATTCTACTCATGTAAAAACACGCTCATTCCCGGACTGTCCACGGGTTGGATTTAGAAGGTGATTGGGCTGGATCCGGCCCTTGGGCCTTAGTTTGCCTACCCATGCAATAGAAGCTGTAGAAACAGAACAAACCTGCAGTGATAACCCGAGATCATGCAAAGATTGTTCTGATAGGACATCTAGTGTGATGATTACAGCATATCCCTCCATTTTCTGTTTTTCCTTTATTGTTTCTGGCGAGTTTTCTCTCTTTCTCCACTCTCAGTTAGTTGTCAGTGTTTTTACTGCACAGTGACTCTCACTGGGTCTAGATGGGGTGTGAGAATTCAAACTGTCTGACTAATCTAACAGCTGGATAAATAACATTGCCAACTGAAGTTATTGTTGGCAGCTATCAGTCTTGGAAGACAATTGAAGAGTGTGCCTTCAGGGGTGAAGTCAAACCATTGCAGACTTACGGCGTCTGCTGCGGCTGTAGGGACTGATACAGGGTAATATATTAAATGTGTCAACCATTTTGGATGAATGGGGTTCTGACAAAGGTTGTTAAGCTCTGCAGCAGTTTGGAATTAGGAATATCCATATATTCCTAACTCTTAGTAACAGTTACAGATAGGTAGCCGTCTTGGTCTGCCATAGTCAAAACAAATTTTTTTTTCTTCCAGTAGCACCTTAAAGACCAACTAAGTTAGTTCTTGGTATGAGCTTTCGCGTGCATGCACACTTCTTCAGATACACTGAAACAGAAGTTGCCAGATCCTTCTATATAGTGAGAAGGTGGGGAGGGGTATTACTCAGAAGAGTAATAGTAATGGAAAGAGTAATGGAAAGAGAAGCTGCTGAATTGCAACTCATTACCAAACTTAAAACCATGGAGAGACCTGGTCTGAACAAAGACATTGGATTCTTATCTCATTATACATGACAAAGCCATTTTTCACCTTCTCACCCCTTGCTTTTTCCTGTAAGACCTATTGCAGTCCTTAAGAGTCGTCAACAGGCTCATCACAGCTATCTGCCAATCACCCATTCCCACCACCCTTCTGAGTAATACCCCTCCCCACCTTCTCACTATATAGAAGGATCTGGCAACTTCTGTTTCAGTGTATCTGAAGAAGTGTGCATGCACACGAAAGCTCATACCAAGAACTAACTTAGTTGGTCTTTAAGGTGCTACTGGAAGAAAAAAAAATTTTTGTTTTAACTCTTAGTAAGGTTGCAAAATAGACCCCTGCTTTCCCCACCCTCAAGTAATTAGATTAAGTCTATAGACACACATTAACTTGCAAATGATGGTGTTTGTTCAAGCTAATCTAGTGCACCTAAGTGCCTGATTTTATTTGATTGGAATTCTCAACGAGAAGAAGAAAATCTTGATTATGAGCACCACCCAAAAGCATCAACAATCATGTAGTGTTGCCGGTGATTTATAACTTTGCCGTCCAGTTCCTTCCTGAGGAGGTCAGTTTGCTGATTTCCCCTTTCTTTGGCTTTCCTTTTCATCCTGGTAGGAGGTGAGAGGCAACAGCAACACGACAAAAGGTCAACAACACTGTGAACATTTAGAAATACATATTTAGGAAATTTGCAGATAGTCATTACAAGTTATGTATACATTTGCATTCAGAGAATCTAATGACGAGTGTTTTTATGGAAGAATGGATGCCTTTTTCAGACTATTTAAAGAAGCGTTATAGTGTGATGAACTTGCCAGCAGGGTTTGAGCTATGAACAACAGAAGGAATTAGATTATAATGTTGTGGCTTTCATTTGATAGCTAGAAGATAGGGTGCAAGGGAGAAACAGCAACTCCATGGAAAATGGGGTGGGAAGTCAATAAAAATAAGAGAAAAGATGAAAGTGTGTTTTGACTGTGTATGTTAAAAAAGTTGAAATTTAGTAAAGCAATTTTACCAATAAGTATTTACTAAAAAAGTAGGAATCAGTGAGGAGGAAGAATAGGCTGCCTTTATGTCTTCCACTTCATTCCCTTTTTAGGTAACATATTACAATTGTTGTAGCTTTTCTCCCAACAGTGACACCTCCAAAGTACACTGGGAATTGCATTTTTACCCCTCACAAAGCTACAATTCCCGACAGCCTTAACGAACTACAGTTCCCAGGATAACAGGGCAGTCTGCTTTCCAATGTCTCGAGGGTGGGGCAGGATGAAGGTGGGGGGGGTGGAAGCTGCATTCCTAAAGCTTCAAACCTCAAACAGTCCAGCCCCACTAATTACAGTGGTACCTCGGGTTACATACGCTTCAGGTTACAGAGTCCGCTAACCCAGAAATAGTACCTCAGGTTAAGAACTTTGCTTCAGGATGAGAACAGAAATCGTGCTTCAGCGGTGCAGCGGCAGCAGGAGGCCCCATTAGCTAAAGTGGTGCTTCAGGTTAAGCACAGTTTCAGGTTAAGAACGGACCTCCGGAACGAATTAAGTACTTAACGCGAGGTACCACTGTATTATGATTTTGAGAGGAACGTCAAGCTGGGACCTTGAATGATGACACATCCATTTCACACGTGTTTGTTTCAACCCTATCTTACCTCTCATTTACGATGCCGCCCTACATTAACGGTTACATTCTGCTTCCCAGTTCTCTGGTATGACATCAGAAACCAGTTGTTTAAACTTATGAATGGGACAAGCCGCTTCACAGCCTGGCAAAACGAGCTGTTCAGGTGGAGCATCAGTACTGGTCCGATAGTACATCTCGATGGTGTACTCGCTGAAAAGAAGAAAGTCAGGTCACCCCCTGATTGGATTCCTATGTGGTCATTCTCATAAGATGCAGCCATATATTGCCCAGGGACATTGGCGCTAACTCCAGGGGGCCGGGGGGGGGGCGGGTACCCACAGAACTTTTGCTGTGGGTGCCTGGCCTCCACCCCTGCCCCCGCTGCCCACTATCCCTGCTGTGCACTGCTGCTGTCTGGCAATGCCCCCTCCATTTCTTTCCTTCAGTGCATCTATCTTGCAATTCAAGCGTGTCCCCACTTGCCCTCTCAAGGACACCTTTGCATGCACCACAATGGGATTTGTGCAGAGGTGGCAAAACACTGAAGGACCTACATGCAAAATGCAACTGTTGCTTCAGCAGCTGCCTTATGTCTTAAGACCGTCGATGTTGCTGGACGACAACCCTGATGGCTGGTCCAGCTGTCTAGAGATGAAAGCAGCTCTAGTCCAACAACATCTGGGGACTCTAGATTGAAGAACGCTGGCACAAAGTGTGGCTCAACCCTTCTAATCCCTTTCTGTCTTTCAAAGGCAGGTACAGTTAATTAATCCGTTCCGCGAGTCTCTTCGTCTTGCGGTTTTTTTGTCTTGCGAAGCACGGCTATTAATGGCTTAGCGGCTTAGCGGCTATTAACGGCTTAGCGGCTTAGCGTCTATTAACAGCTTAGCGACTTAGCGGCTATTAACGGCTTAGCGGCTATTAACGGCTTAGCGGCTTTAAGAAAAAGGAAACAAACTCGCAAGAACTCGCATGACGTTTCGTCTTGTGAAGCAAGCCCATAGGGAAATTCGTCTTGCAGAACGACTCAAAAAACGGAAAACTCTTTTGTCTTGCGCATTTTTCGTCTTGCAAGGCATTCGTCTTGCGAGGTACCACTGTACACCTCAGCCATTCACCTATGAAATGCACTTCCAATAGCATTTTGGACAGCTGGGTGTCAAGCTCAAACACAGAGGAATGCATACACTCCAACATTTCTCCAATGAAAATAGGGACGTCCCATTCCATAATGATAATTCATACCCCACACATCTTACTGGGTTGCCCCAGCCATTCTGGGCAGCTTCCAACGTACCATATTTTTTGCTCTATAGGACACACTTTTTTCCCTCCAAAAATTAAGGGGAAATGTGTGTGTGTCTTATGGAGCGAATGCAGGCTCCTTGGCTTCAGCGATAGCAATGCAAAGCCTCCGAAGCACAGAAGGAGTGCTCCCGCCGCGCTCCGGAGGCTTTGCGTTGCTTTCACTGAAGCCTGGAGAGCGAGAGGGGTTGGTGCGCACCGACCCCTCTCGCTCTCCAGGCTTCAAGGATAGCTGCCTGAAGCCTTCGGAGCACAGCCCAAATTCCCGCTGCGCTCCGCAGGCTTCAGGTTCCTTTTGCTGAAGCTGGGAGAGCAAGACTCTCCCGGCTTCAGCAGAGAGGGAGAGCTGCGCAGCGCCCCCTCAGCCAAGCAGGAGGAGAAATGGAAGGGGCTCCATTTCTCCTGCCGCTTCGCTGAAGGGGCGCTGAGCAGAGAGGGGGAGATTTTTTTCTTCTTGTTCTCCCCCTCTAAAACAAGGTGCGTCCTATGGTCAGGTGCGTCCTATAGAGCGAAAAATACGGTATATAAAACATGATAATATGTTAAACATTAAAAACAACCTTCCCTATATAGGATTGCCTTCAGACAGCTCAGGGCTGGGATAATTCCATACCCTCCAACATTTCTCCAATGAAAATAGGGACTTTCTAAAGAAAAGTGGGAAGTTCTGGGATCAAATCAGAAACTGGGACAGCTTCTCTAAATTGGGGGTTTCCTTGGAAAATAGGAACACTTGGAGAGTCTGGGAACGCAACTTTTTTTTTACTCATTTTAGCAGTGCACAAATTGTGAGAAGAAATACTGTGTTCTGTGCAAGTTTGAGAAGGTGAGTGAATCTTGTTTACCCAATATACCATTGCTGATTATTTTATCTATGCATCAGTACTTACGCATTGTCTTCTTGATATAGCTCAAAAAAATGGCAAGCGGCGAAGGGAGGTAGATGTTCTTTGAAAACACCCAATGCTACCTGGAGAGCTGCTAGCGTGACATCATGCTATAAAAAGAAAATAAAGAATTCCTTACTACTGACAGAAGTGCGTTTGTGTATAGAGTACTTAGACACTGTTAGCTCTAAGCCGGGCTGGCCCACCCATGAGGCAAGGTGAGATGACTGCCTCAGGTGGCAAGTTGCACAGGGGCAGCAGGTAACGATGTCAATCTTTATTTCCCCTTTGTACCTGAGGCAGATCTTCACTACATTTTGTGTCCACCTCAAGTGCCAAAATGTCTTGGGCCGGCTTTAAGTTACAAGGATGCTGTATCAGACAAAGTCCTCCACTGTGGTCTATGACATGCGATGGATTTAATTGCAAAAGGACCCCTTTCGCAAGATTACCCAAGCAAGAATTTAAAGAGAATGAAATGTGCAGCCCCGGGGATGTAGGACCTTGTTTCAGACATTTATTCAGTATTGTTTAAACATGTAGTTACTTCACATTTGTGCTTCATTCTGCATACATCCATCTGAAATAAAGTTTATGCTACTCACTCTTCTGCATATGAATCTAGGACTGTATACACATATTGTACATAAAATGTGTGTACTCCAGTCATGCAATCGATCTGCCCTAAAAAGGATTGCACAGGCAGGTCCTATGTATGAACAATGGAAAGGTAGAGTATGTCCCTGTTGGGTCTCCTTGATCTTTCAGGGGTTTTTATTGCCACCAGCCATGGAATTCTTCTGAGAGACTATCTGAGTTGGGAGTAGGGGAAGTTGTTTTGCAGTTGTTCTGTTCCAACTTGGATGGTTGTTCCCAGAAGGTGGTGCTTTGGCAAGGTGGCTTGGGTGCCGTGGGGTTCTGCAGGCTTTGATTTACCTTCCATTTTGTTTAACGTTTACAAGAAAGTACTGAGTAGGGTTATTAAGCATTTTGGAGTCAATACGCAACTCTGCTCCCTGAGGGGAGGAGAGGCACATGTCTATATCCAGCGCCAATAAGAAAGTAAAACTTGACAATGTGAATTATGTAAGAACCTGTCATATTCATATTGAAAAAATGAATGATTTGTGGTTTGGAATGCAGAATGTGAGCGGTAACAGAATGGAGAGAGCCCTTTAGCAAATACATGCCAGCACTGAAATTGACAACATGTTACAAGACACTTGGGATCTCCCCTTCCTGCCCTAGAACATGACTCCAGAATCTAGCTAATATTTATTTATTTTTTGCTTTATTGTTGTCTTTTAAGTTATACTCATGAGACCTGGGGATGGCCTTGAGGTTGCCTTCAGTATCAGTGAGATGTTGCGTTAATCTTCTATATGTGTGAGATTTCCACTTCTGTTTTGCAGAAAGAGCACACCACACCTGACCTAGGTTGGAGGGCTCTGCAGGTTTCCTAGCCTCAAGCCTCCCCATATATTCCCAAGTACAATGTACTGTGTGGGGCCCAATCCGAATCAGGAGGGCAGGGTCACAGATCAGGGGCACAGCTGCTTTCCCTTCAAATTTAAAAGTGTTAGCTTTCAACCTAACTTTTAAAATATGTGACGAACGTACAGTACTGTGGGGTTCCACCGCCAGCCTTCAGAAGAGGTCCGGGGACAGCGGGGAAGACGCGCTGCGCTTCCCCTCTGTCCCCGGAGCTTGCGGGGCTGGCAACGGGGAGAAGCGATCTTCTCCCCGCCGCCAGCCTTCAGAACAGGTCCGGGGACAGAGGGGAAGGCGCACTGCGCTTCCCTGCTATCCCCGGAGCTTGCGGGGCAAGCTTCGTCTTGCGAAGCAAGCCCATAGGGAAATGCGTCTTGCGAAGCGGCTAAGAAAACAAAAAACACTTTCGTCTAGCGAGTTTTTCGTCTTCCGAGGCGTTCGTCTTGCGGGGTACCACTGTAATGTGAATTGAGTAGACAAATAGTGTTGCCAAACAGAAAGGGGAGCTAGAAAGGAGCAGGAAAAATGTGAGCTATAGAAGGTTTGGTCAATTTAAAAAATGTCCATACGTACAGCTGAATACATTAACATTTTTCTTCCATCAGTAGTTTGTGTCATCTGATGCAAAATATCTTTCACAAGGAGACCTTAATGGTGATGAAAAAGAATACAAATGATGGTGAAACCAGTAAGCCATTCCAAGCCTTTCAATCCCCTTTATCACTGTGATGACTCCTCCCTGCTCCCCAAAAAGCTGGGACTGAGAACATCTAACTTTGTTGTTGTTGTTGTTGTTGTTTTCAAGGTGATATGGAATCCTAGCAATGCCCTCCAAACACAACCACTGTCACCAATAATAACGTGATCAATACATGTTGTAGAGCCTGGCTGTTTCCCTGGCAGAGGTTGGCAACCATAAAGGCGTTTGCTCATCACTCTCTGGATGGTGACGGGAGCAGCCTAGGCCCATGCTGGACGGGTGCAGAGGTAGGCATACACACATACATGTGCTTTTGCACACATGAGTCATGTGCCCCTTGAGGTATGTGTGTCCAACCCTCAGTGCAGCCCCTGAGGCAAAAAAATTAAAAAATTAGCTGCCCCCACTTAAGATAAACAAGAATACATGCATGTCATATTGAATTTTCCCTCCTTACCTCCTTGTAGTTTTGATTTTTCTACTTTTTTGTGTACCCCAAACATGGCATGTAAAGAAAAGGCCAAAAGCTTTCCCAATTCGTCCATGGCTTGATCATCAGCCCAGTTTGGTCGAGGCTGGTTATGGATTTTCTACAGTTAGGAAAAAAAGAAAGTTTTTCCCCTCCTGTGATCCATGCCCTCCCCCCCCCCTTCACAGTTACCTCTTCTCTTGTTTCATATCTATATTTAGGAAAACCCATTACATGCCACCTTTTGGTTTACATAAAGTGACTCACAACCACCAACAAAAACCAGAGAAAATGATCTACAGGTGGTACATGACTCTGGCTAAGTTAGCAAAGATTTATCATTTGCCCAATAACAAGTGTTGGAAGTGTAATGAAACGGAGGGAACCTTCTATCACCTTTGGTGGACCTGCCCGAAGATTAAGGCCTTCTGGGAAATGATCTATAATGAAATTAAAAAAGTTCTGAAGAGAACTTTTAATAAAAAGCCAGAAGCCTTTCTCCTGGGTATGGTGGGCCAAATGGTGCCAAGAAGGATAGGACATTTTTTATGTATGCTACAACAGCAGCAAGAATCCTTCTAGCAAAGTATTGGAAGACACAAGATCTACCCACGTTGGAAGAATGGCAGACGAAGGTGATTGATTATATGGGACTGGCAGAGATGACTGGCAGAATCCGAGACCGGGGGAAAGAGGCGGTGGATGAAGACTGGAACAAATTTAAAGTTTATCTTAAAAACTGTTGTAATTTGGAAAATTAGAGGATCAGGGTAATAAGAGATAAAGAACTACAGTTGTTTTATTATCTTATGGAAGTTAAATTTACGAAATAGAAATAAGTTTAATACGAAAGGGTTGCTGAAAAATCTTGAAACAAGAATGCAGGCTGGGGCTGGATCTACACACAGTTTAAAAAAAAGGTGTCACATGTTTATAACACAGTTATAATGATATAGTTGACTGAGTGTAGCTGAGTCCTTAGTCTGAATAAATTTCTGTGGTTCTAAGATTAGAGTTAGACTAAATAGGTTTTTGGAGACGCCTCCCCAACCCTGTGACTCTGGTGTTTAAATAAAATGACTGCTAGAGTGGTCAGCCAAGATGGACGAGCTTAGCCTGATAGATTCTCCTTTTTGGGAGAATGGGCCTTTCCATAACTAAAGAGGTGGCCCAGTACAGGTGATGTGTTGCCTGTGGCACAGAAACTAAGTAGCCGGAGCTCATTATGGGACATTTATTTCTTCCCTTTCCCCTTCCCTGGTGACATAGGAGCCAACTCCTAGAGGCCACAGTCCCTTTGGGTCCCCCAATAAAATATTTGAGGGGGGTAGGCCCAAAGTTGTTAGGCATTGCCCCCAAATGGCGTGTGTATGCCACACCATGTGATTGATTACGGGGGTAGGGCTTACCTGCCCCCCATATTTTATTCAAGTTGGCACCCCTGGGTCTAAACAGTAGCTTGGACCACTCTGCCGTTTCTGTTGCTATGGTGACACAAGCAGTATTGAAAACAGGGCCGCTAATCACACTGGTGGAGGAAGAGGGGTGTGGAGGGAGCGCACGCCCCCGGGGCGCATGCTAGCCCCGCCCTCACCTGCTCTCCGCCCCCTGGTGCATGAAGCTCCGCCATTGGCTAATCATTGTTCCACACGAAGTGCTCTCATTTGCCTTTGGTTGCCAGATCTTGTTCTAACCTATTATTTTGTTGTTGTTATTGGAGCCGGATGAGTGATAAAGTTTTCTTAGAAATACCTGAACAACTAAAGCATCGTATGCCTTCCAGAGTTTGAGACTTTTATAATCCAGAACCGTTGGCAAGTCGTATCCCATGTTAGCTGCCATTTTACCTAGAAATTCCTGAAAGAGAAAGAGCAGAAGGATCAATAAATCACTAAGTGCGAATGGGTACGCAGGGATCAATAGCGCCTGTTCCTGCAGGGATTGGCATCTTATGATTTGGCAAAGTTTAGCCCTGTCCTTTAATACTGTACAGGCTTTTCAAGAATTAGATCAAGGGAAGTAATAGTGCCACTGTATTCTGCTCTGGTCAGACCTCACCTGGAGTACTGTGTCCAGTTCTGGGCACCACAGTTCAAGAAGGACACTGACAAACTGGAACGTGTCCAGAGGAGGGCAACCAAAATGGTCAAAGGCCTGGAAACGATGCCTTATGAGGAATGGCTAAGGGAGCTGGGCATGTTTAGCCTGGAGAAGAGGAGGTTAAGGGGTGATATGATAGCCATGTTCAAATATATAAAAGGATGTCACATAGAGTAGGGAGAAAGGTTGTTTTCTGCTGCTCCAGAGAAGCGGACATGGAGCAATGGATCCAAACTACAAGAAATAAGATTCCACCTAAGCATTAGGAAGAACTTCCTGACAGTAAGAGCTGTTCGACAGTGGAATTTGCTGCCAGGGAGTGTGGTGGAGTCTCCTTCTTTGGAGGTCTTTAAGCAGAGGCTTGACAACCATATGTCAGGAGTGCTCTGATGGTGTTTCCTGCTTGGCAGGGGGTTGGACTCGATGGCCCTTGTGGTCTCTTCCAACTCTATGATTCTATGATTCTATGAATAAAAGGATCAGTTTCTTCACTTCCCAGATGATGGGAAGGGAGCAAATTGGGGGCCCTTTCCCGTCATTCCGACCTGCCACTCAAAGAAAGCGGAAGGGACCCTTCATTCCCTTCTAGTATTCAGAAGGGAAGGGGTTAAGCACACTGACATTGGACCCTGCAAATCTGGAAGTGCTCTTGTCTTCCCTGCCAAAACAACAAGACCATGGGTAGGCAAGCTAAGGCCTGGGGGCTGGATCCGGCCCCATCGCCTTCTAAATCCAGCCCGCGGACGGTCCGGGAATCAGCGTGTTTTTACATGAGTAGAATGTGTCCTTTTATTTAAAATGCATCTCTGGGTTATTTGTGGGGCATAGGAATTCGTTCACCCCCCCCCAAATATACTCTGGCTCCCCACAAGGTCTGAGGGACAGTGGACTATCCCCCTGCTGAAAAAGTTTGCTGACCCCTGAACATGACAATCTGTCTAGACATCTTTCCCTTTTGGGAAAATTTATTCTCTGTTTATTTTGCAAGCAAGTGAGAACAAGAGAAATAAAACACTTCAAAGCTACGTACGCGAGTACATGTGTTGCATTTTCAGAGAGAGAAAGAGTTTCCCTATTGGTCAGTTGATACATCTCTAGTTTTAAGTAGCCTAGAGAAGCACTTGCACAACTAATTTTTAAAAAAATGACCTGGAAGAAAACAGCGGCGACAAATTTGTCATGGGCAAACAGGTTTATAGTCTGGCGCCACGACGGTTTGGCTGTCAAATCAGACATTTGCTGCACATTCCTCGGGAGGTCTACTCAAGAGTAAGACCCATTGACGTCAGTGGGACTGCCTTGCAGGGACTGCAGCCTTAAAGTCACCACCTCTCCCTTTCTTACCATGTGTTTTTTTATTCCTCCCCCGACTGTTTCGGATTCAAACGTTTCCTTTAGAAGTTGGCCATATTTCGGACATTTGGCTTTGACAGGAAAATACAGCAACTAAAATAAGAACAAATAAATAAAATGTATTAACTAACTACAAAGGCCTCCTGATGGTGTCTCCTGCCTGTGCATAATCCATGTGTCCATCCTAAATTTGGATTATGATTAATAGTCTGAGGTTGTTTGCACACATTCAATACTTTGGCAGGCGGGAAAATGCTTAAAGCTTGATGCTGTTGAGACTCTTGAGGCTGGAGTCTGATTTCCGTTGCATTACACCTCCAACCAAGCATTACAGGTCTAAGCCTTCTATTTCTCTCTCTTAATATATATATCTCAAACTCTCTTAATATACAGTGGTGCCTTCCAAGACGAAATTACTTCGTTCTGCGAGTTTCTTCGTCTTGCGGATTTATCGTCTTGCGAAGCACGGCTATTAACGGTACTTAGCGGCTTTAAGAAAAAGGAAACAAACTCGCAAGAACTCGCAAGACGTTTTCGTCTTGCGAAGCAAGCCCATAGGGAACTTCGTCTTGCGAAGCGACTCAAAAAACGGAAAACTCTTTCGTCTTACGAGTTTTTCGTCTTGCGAGGCATTCGTCTTGCGAGGTACCACTGTATACCTGTCTACACCTTGAATAGGTCTGTGTTCTCTCTGTTAATGTGTGCGTGCATATACCGTATTTTTTGCCCTATAGGACGCACTTTTTCCCCTCCAAAAATGAAGGGGAAATCTGGGTGCGTCCTATGGGGCGAATGCAGGCTTTCGCTGAAGCTTGGAGAGTGAGAGGGGTCGGTGCGCACCGACCCCTCTCGCTCTCCAGGCTTCAGGAAGACATCCGCAGCCCTGCGGGAGTTCCCGCAGGGCTCCCTACGCTGCGGATAGCAGCCTGCCGCCCGGCGAGAGGGGCGCCCTGAAGCAGAATGCCCCGCGCGCCGGACAGACATCAGCCAGCCCCACAAGCTCGGGGGACAGCAAGGAGGTGCAGTGCCACCATCCCGCTGTTCCTCGACCTGGTTCGGTTTCCCCGACCTGCTTTTGGGGGGGAAATAAAGGAAATCCCCCCTTTATTTTCCCCCAAAAAACTAGGTGCGTCCTATGGGACAGAGCGTCCTATGGGACGAAAAATACGGTATATATTCTCTTTTAGGTTACCATGGATTCAGCTGGAATGGTAAAGAAAAAGTGATTTATATGTGTTGTATGTGCGATATAATATTGTGCCACCAGGAGGCGACATGGAGTCCTGTTTTTCTCTACCTGTTTTCCCTGTTTAAATTGACCACACTTTAAACTGAAACGCTTCTTTGATGTGTCTGGATCCAGCCCATGTTTTCATTGCACAGGGAGCAGGAAAGGTTAAAAATACCACACGCTTTCTTGCCTTGTCATCTGAACGTGGCACAGTATGAACTGGAATTGGTTGCCAAAGGATCTCTTTGTTCCAGATTTGGTTTCCTTTAGGAGGAAAGAGTCCAGCCAGATTGGCTTCAGCGCTCATAATGGTTCGATCAGTATCTGTACTTCGGACATAAATCTAGAGAGCGGGAAAAAGGAAAAGTGTAGTTATAGGATAGTGTTGTTTTTTTTTGATCCTACAACCGAAGGTATAATTCTATGTAAAGTTGATTTGAATCCCAGTAAAATACTCTCTTGGGGAGACTTGGACATTAAGCATATACCCCAAAGAGAAACAGAAGAAAGAACAACATTTGAGAATCATTGGTGAATATTTCTTCCCTTTTTCTGCCAGGAGCCATGAGGTAGATTTGACTGACAGGCCACCTGTTCCTGCGTGTTCACTCTGTTGTGGGGGCTGGTGAGTTCATGTGGGTATGTGAAAGTGTGAGTCGTGTCACTGGACTTCACAATTCATTTTCTCAGAATACAAACCATAGCGGTTCATAACATGTGCCTTAAAATGTGGCGAGCATTGGAACCCAATCCTTCTCCAGCTTTTGGTTTAGTCCAAGCCAGTGAAGAACCCCCTTCTCTTCCTCAATCACCAAATGCTGGGAAATGTCAATGATTTCTGGGGCTTATTCCCCAGTGTTGTTCTTATTCTTTTTGTTGTGAGTGTTATAATTTTAATTTATTCCCTGCCCTTCACCGTGAGGTCCCAGGGGATGTTACAACAATAATGGGAGTGGGTCAGAGAGGACCAAAGAAGAGGAGGACATTGGAGAAGAAAGAGAGGGTCCTTCAGCTTCTTTCCTCTGCTGCCATGCTTATAACAGTGGAGGAAGCATGGAAACAGACATACAGTGGTGCCTCGCAAGACGAAATTAATTCGTTCTACGAGTTTCTTCGTCTTGCGGATTTTTCGTCTTGCGAAGCACGGCTATTAGCGGCTTAGCGGCTATTAACGTCTTAGCGGCTTAGCAGCTTAGCGGCTATTAACGGCTTAGCGGCTTAGCGGATATTAACGGCTTAGCAGCTTAGCGGCTTAGCGGCTATTAACGGCTTAGCGGCTTTAAGAAAAAGGAAACAAACTCGCAAGAACTCGCAAGACGTTTTCGTCTTGCGAAGCAAGCCCATAGGGAAATTCGTCTTGCAGAACGACTCAAAAAACGGAAAACTCTTTCGTCTTGCGAGTTTTTCGTCTTGCGAGTTTTTCGTCTTGCAAGGTACCACTGTACTGTATTTTTTGCTCTAAAAGACTCACTTTTCCCCTCCTAAAAAGTAAGGGGAAATGTGGGTGCGTCTTATGGAGCGAATGCAGGCTGCGCAGCTATCCCAGAAGCCAGAACAGCAAGAGGGATTGCTGCTTTCACTGCGCAGCGATCCCTCTTGCTGTTCTGGCTTCTGAGATTCAGAATATTTTTTTTCTTGTTTTCCTCCTCCAAAAACTAGGTGCGTCTTGTGGTCTGGTGCGTCTTATAGAGCGAAAAATACGGTATTTGGCAGCAGTCCCTGACACTGTGAGTAAGTTTAGAGCCCCAAAGGGAAATCATTTGTCGTTCCCTCCACACATATTCTCCACTTCTGCTTGTATTTGCTTGTCCCGATCTAAAGAGCATGGGGAAACTCATCTGTTATGTTTCTATAAATGTTACTGCTAAATGAACAGGGGGGAAGTCTCTTGTTAGCTCTGCCACTGCTGCTGGACAAGTAGATTTGGGGCACATGGGGATGGGAATTATGAGTAAATTTGGGTAAATTTGAGTAAATAGGGGAAATCAATTCTCAGTTTCCCCTTGCCCTGAAGACACACATCCTCCACTTCTACTTGCAACTGCTTGTCCCAATCCAAAGTTCACCTGAAGTTTGACCCTAATGTTATGTTTGTATAAATGTTAACACTAAATGAACAGGGCTAACATCTCTTGTTAGTTCCAATACTTGCTTCCTTTGGCTTGTAGTCAGTACTTAAGAAGCCCTCATATCTCTTCCTTATGAATTGGCCCAGTTCGTATTGCTGCTGCATTCCAAGCTGAGGGGAAAAGAAAAGAAAAGTAGGCATGTAAAACTGATTGATACATTTGGCTGCCCATTCTGAGGATAAAGACTTTGCGTATTCTAGGATGACAATGTTGATTGTACATTACAGCATCATGAAAAAGCTAAACTCTGTTCTTTTTCACAACTTCAGGACAACACCAAGGTTAACACCTGTATTTAGATTCTGTTAACTTAAAAAAATAAATAAAAATAAAACATTTGGAGTATATTTTGATTAATTAGTATCTTAATGAGCATGAAATAAATGTAAACATATGAAACAAAATATGCTTCCATTTCTAAGAGCAGCTATCAAACCTTCGTGAGTTGTGCGAATCCTTGTGGCCAAGCATCTTCGTTGACAACATTAGTGGGAAAAGATGAAAGGGGGCTTCTGTCGCCATGTCGGTAAACCTAGTAAAATGGTTCGGAGACCGTATTAGCTTTCAGAGAAACTAGAATTGTTTGCAATTTATCTGAATTAGACATTCGCTTTCTTGCCATAGCTCTAAAAATCAATATGACTATTTAATGAGGACATGCTGCAGATTACCTGGATAAAAGTGATGGGTTTGGAAACCCCTGTTCTAGAGGTAACAGATTTACAAAATAAAAGGCTGCCAAGAATACAGTTCTGTGCTGCAAATTATAAGTAATAATTTACATGCAACTATACTGGTGTTCATCCATAAAAAGGAAGCAAAGAAAGAATGAAACGTTTTCTTATACTCAAAATACATATACTTTGCAAAATCAGCTCCCTGTCTCTTGAATTTATATTCAGGTTCAAGCAGAATATTCCATGCACTGTGTGTTCTTCACAAAGCTAGCCACTTTAAATTCAATTAAGCAAATGTTTGCCCAAGCTCTGGCGTATTTACTTACTTGTTTGATTTGACATTTTTATTCCCTGTCCTTCAGACAGTGCTTTTTTGTGTGATGGTACTCAGAAGTTCATGATCATCATCTCTCTCTGTCTGCTTCAGCCATTTTGTGCTGGCACCCACAACACTTTTTATCAAGAAATGAGTACTGCAACCTCATTTTTTACACCCTCTCTCAAAGCGCTGTGGTTTAGTATAGCCTTACTTTATCTGGTTCCTTCCCCCCTTTTTGACTACAACTCCCATCATCCCTGAACTTGGGCCATGCTGGCTGGGTTTGATGGGAATTGCTGTCTAAAGTAGCAAGTTAGGGAAAGCTGGTTTAATATCTGCACATGTCTTCTCCATCCCTCTCTTCCTCCCATGGAACTGCAAGGAAAAAATCAGAAACATTTGCTTCCTTTTTCAACCTAGGCTTAAACTGAGAGTTACAGATTATGGTTTTGCTGAATGACCAAGAGTCATAAACCATGGGTTTGAAGTAAACTGTTAAGGGCAAAGCACGGTTAAAACCAGCCACCGTTCGCCTCAGTTTGGATAAAAAGATGAACTGCAGTTAGTCGAACATGGAAGTAAATGCTTCCAGCTGTGATGGAGGAGGAAAGTGAATGGGGGAATTACAAACCCAATATTCATTCATGCAGTACTTAACCATAGTTTGGTATCACATCTGAATGCAGGCACCAGAAACACAGATACTGCAAGTCACTTTGCATTTTTCATCCTCTGGTTGCCTCCAGTATAGACTATTACAATGCAGTGCACAAGGGTTGCCTCTGAAGACTGTGTGGAGATTGCTTCTCCAATATAATGCGTTTTGTATGTGAGCTGGCTAACTACATTGCAAAATTCAGAAAAATGTGAATTTACAAGGATAGCTGTTTTTCAGCTGCCATCATAGGAACCAACTTCACCCACCCCCGATAAAATATTTGAGGGGGCTGCTCCCCCAAAGGTTGCTGGGCATTGCCATTCAAATAGTGTGTGTGTGCTGTGTCATGTGATCGATTATGTGGGGTGGGGCTTACCTGGGCCCCCCAATATTTAATTCAAGTTGGCATCCCTGGTTCAGAAACTGAAATGGAAAAATGAATTGAATTTTGCTCCAGTGACAACATAGAAATAAACTGGCTTTGTATGCCTATTTGATCAGATCCATGACGTGTTCTATGAAGGTGGTACACAATGCTGTAAAGGTAAAGGGACCTCTGACCATTAGGTCCAGTCATGGCCGACTCTGGGGTTGCGGCGCTCATCTCACTTTACTGGCTGAGGGAGCCGGCGTACAGCTTCCGGGTCATGTGGCCACCATGACTAAGCCGCTTCTGGCGAACCAGAGCAGCATACGGAAACACCGTTTACCTTCCCGCCGGAGCGGTACCTATTTATCTACTTGCACATGACGTGCTTTCGAACTGCTAGTTGGCAGGAGCAGGGACCGAGCAACGGGAGCTCACCCCGTCATGGGGATTCGAACCGCCAACCTTCTGATTGGCAAGTCCTAGGCTCTGTTGTTTAACCCACAGCGCCACCCATGTCCCTACACAATGCTATGGCTGGGTGCTAATTGCCTCTCAAAACACTCCATTCTGTTTGTGAGCAAAGGAATTGGGGGACAATTTTACCAAGTTTCTCCTGGGGAAGGAAAATTCCTCCCAACGGTGTCTTGGGAAGGAGGGCTCAGCAGCAGCAACACCACTGCTTTCATTTTCTCTTCTCTTTCTTGGAGCAAATGCGTTGGAAGCCTGGCCACCATTTTGCATGCTCTGCAAGCCCTGGACTGAACATCATTCCCAGGCATTGTGTAGGACAGAGGTCGGCAACCCTGCGGCTCCGGAGCCGCATGTGGCTCCTTTAAACCTTTGCTGCGGCTCCGGGGCGCCTCTTCCCTCATGGTGCAGGGAGCGAAGAAGAAGAGGAGGAGGGCGGCGGCAGGAAGGCGCGCCAGGGCGCAGCGGCGGTTCTCCCTTCAGGTGGACACTGTTGCCACTGCCACCGCTGGCACCTGCCACACACGGGCGCGTCCACAAGCAGGCGCGCTCCCTTTCGCCGTCGGTCGCAGCAGCCCGCCCGCCCTCAGGCCCCGCGCGCTGCGCCGCTTGACGTTGAGAGCCACCCACCCAGGCCACGCTCTCCTCAGCCCCGCACGCGAGGCACCTGAGGCGAGGGAGAGAGCGCACACACGCTCGAGGGAAATGGCGGGGTGGGGTGTGTGTGTGTGTGTGTGTGAGAGAGAGAGAGAGAGAGAGAGGGGGGGTGGCGGTGGTGCTTCGGGATCCTTTTCTGTGCCTTGCTTCTGAGTGGCCGCCGAGTTGAGGGAGGAGGGGGTCCAGAGGTAGCCAGCAGGAGAGGCGGGGGAGCACGAGAGCAATTGCAGAGGGAGGGGAGCTGTTAGGCACCAACATCCTGCATGCGGGATTTCCCCGTTCTCTCGTGCCTATGCAATTCCTGCCCTTCTCCCTTCCCCCTCGAGATTTGCTGCAGAGACAAGCAAATGAAGAAGAAAGGGAAGAGTATTAGCTGACATGTCCCTGGTCCCATGGAAAGCACCACAGATTCCTTTGCTTACCAGCTCTTTTTATTTTAAGTTGGCTTCAAACCTGTAATTGTGTAGGTGTATGTATGTATACATATACACACATAAATATTCATATCTCTTCCCTCTCACCTTCCTTTCACCCAGTTTCTCTGGCACTGGTTTATAAATGCTGCTATGTAGAAATGATGAGAAAGTTGCACCAGCAGAAGGAATGGATATGTGCTTTTAGTAAAAAGAGAGGGAGTTGAACTGCAGGGAGGGACAGACACTTTTCTATGTATTAATTTGTATAATGCCCTCTATGCACATGGTGCTTTGCAAAAAATGGATATGAGAGGTACCATTCCCCTCTTTGCTATCTGAAATAGACTCAGGGAAAAGAGAGAGAATGGGGGAAGGGGAAGAATGTGTGGTTATTTACATTTGGCTTGTTTTGCGGCTCCCAGTTGTTGTTTTTTCTTCGAAAACGGGTCCAAGTGGCTCTTTTTGTCTTAAAGGTTGCAGACCCCTGGTGTAGGAAGAAAGAATTATGCAAAATGACCTTCCTCCCTGCCTGGCCCCCCCCCAAGGGAGGGGATGAGAAAATAAAAATATCTGAAATCATCCTTGAAATAAGACTATTGCACCTCAGCTGTACAAAATGCACATTATTATTCATGGAATCAGGCTATAGAAAGAGGAATTGCACAAATCTGCAATGTCAAGGTCATTGTTAGCAATGAAGAGAAGACCTCATGCTTACCAATACAACATACTTCAGTTTCCTTCCTGTGATACTCGGGAGAAGCAGACCCAAGAACAGGATGAAGAAGGCGAAGCCACAGCTATTGAAATTGTGTAGCAGATGCATCACTGACCTCGTTGCTCCTGGCAGTAATTATGAATTGCCTAGTTAGTGAAGGTGGGAAGGGGAAAAGTTGTGTTTTATAAAGAGCAAACCAAGGGGTGGAAACTCTCTCTAAATCTCTAAATCGGCTCTGGATCCATTCCAGTCCGGCTTCCGCGCTGGTCATGGGACTGAGACGGCTCTGGTTGTCCTAACAGATGATTTCCGCAGGCAGCTGGATCGAGGCGGGTCGGGGCTGCTGATTCTTCTAGACCTGTCAGCAGCCTTCGACATGGTTGATCATGAACTCCTGGACCACCGCCTTGCCGACGTGGGGCTCCAGGGCACAGTCCTTCAATGGCTGCGCTCGTTTCTCTCTGGTCGGGGACAGAGGGTGGCGCTTGGGGGGGAATTGTCATCGCGCCACTCCTTGGTGTGTGGAGTGCCTCAGGGTGCGATACTCTCCCCGATGCTTTTTAACATCTTTATGCGCCCCCTCGCCCAGCTTGTCCGGAGTTTTGGGCTGGGTTGCCATCAGTATGCCGATGACACCCAACTCTGTCTGTTGATGGATGGCCATCCTGACTCGGCCCCAGACACACTGACCAGATGTCTGGAAGCTGTGGCTGGATGGTTACGTGGGAGCCTGTTGAAGTTAAATCCTTCGAAGACAGAGGTCCTTTGGCTGGGACGGGACGATATGGGATTGAGGGGGCAACTCCCATCTCTTGCGGGGGTGCAATTAGTGCCAGCACTGTCCGTTAAGAGTTTGGGTGTAATCTTCGATACCTCCCTCTCTATGGAGGCACAGATTACAGCTATAACAAAGGTGGCATTTTTTCATCTCCGCCAAGCTAAGCAGTTGGCCCCTTATCTCTCTCGCCCTGACCTAGCCACTGTGATCCACACGACAGTCATCTCCAGACTGGATTATTGTAACTCGCTCTACGTGGGGCTGCCCTTGAGACTGACCCAGAAACTCCAGCGGGTGCAGAATGCCGCGGCGAGACTCCTTATGGGGTCTTCGCTGCGAGATCACATTCATCCGGTACTATACCAGCTGCAGTGGCTCCCGGTGGAGTACAGGATCAGGTTTAAGGTGCTGGTTTTAACCTTTAAAGCCCTATACAGCCTAGGACCCTCGTACCTACGGGACCGCCTCTCCTGGTATGCCCCACAGAGGAACCTACGGTCTGCAAATAAAAACATCCTGAAGGTCCCAGGCCACAGAGAGGTTAGGCTGGCCTCAACTAGAGCCAGGGCTTTCTCAGTTGCGGCTCCAATCTGGTGGAACGCTTTGTCACAAGAGACTAGGGCCCTGCGGGACCTGACATCTTTCCGCAGGGCCTGCAAGACAGAGCTGTTCCACCAGGCCTTTGGTCAGGGCGCAGCCTGACTCCCTCCTCTGGCAACCTGCACAGAATTTTGCTTAACGGTTGCCATCAATTTGATTTTAATTAATTTTTATAATGAAATGTTTTTAGAATGTTGGATTATTTGATTGTTTGATTATTTGATTGTTGTTAGCCGCCCTGAGCCCAGCTTCGGCTGGGGAGGGCAGGATATAAATAAAATTTTATTATTATTATTATTATTATTATTATTATTATTATTATTATTATTATTTGATCTTGGAGTTTAACTTGATGGCTACTGATTTATGTATTTTTGTAATACAGTCAAGGACTGAAAAGAAAATGCCAAATTCTGTAGGACTGGAGGACCACACTTGCCTGGAGGCTGTGCCCCATTGCTTTTCTCCAAAAGGAAGGCCACTTAGGTCTCTGCTTATGGGCAGGGAACCAAAGATAATGGGGAGGTTGCAGTCTCAGACTTCCAGGAAGAACATCAGGCAGAGGAGGAGGGGTCAAATTCTGTAGACCTGGGAGAAGAGCTGGTGGAAGAGGACTCGAAGAAATTTAAAGACTACTTGCAAAAGCATTGCAAATTGTATGAATGCTAGAATGATGTCGGATATAAAGATAATATGGTATTAGTGATATAGTTGAAAGTTGTATGTAAAAATGGTTGACAGAACAAAGGTGAAGTCAGAATAATATTATGTCAAACTTAAACAAAATGAAAAAATGGGGGAAAACTGGAGGCATAATAGTTGAAATGTATAATATGAAATAAGATTTGAAAGAAGGTGAGGTATTGCTGAAAAAGACTCTGTAAAAGGGAACACAGAAAAGGGAGATGCGAGGGAGTCTGGAAAGAGGATTATGAGAATAATATCCAAGAAACTGGTTTTTTCTTTTTTATGTCTTTTTATGTCTTCTTTATTTTGTTTTTTATGATGGGTTTTTTACTGTGTTTTTCTGTTTTTTGAATGGTGTTTTTTCTTTTTTCTTATTCTGTTTTGTGAAGTTTGTTTTATTGTCTGAAACTTTAATAAATATCTTTAAAAAAACACCAAACAAATTCTGTAGGGCTAGAGGACCACACTCGCCACCCAACAGATGCCCGGAGGCTGTGCCCTATGATTCTTCTCCAAAAGGAAGGACACTCTAGTCTCTGTTAATGGCTAGGTGGACAGAAATACAGCAGTGCTCTGCCATATTGGCTGTTCCTGGTTGCTAGTGCGCGTAATAAGTCATCCAGGACCGAGGTACAGATATGAAAGTGATGGGTGCAACCATAGACCAAGCGTATAGATAAGATATTCTGCATAGATAGCTATGCATAGAATCTCACAGTCTCACTTGAAGTATTCGCATGGGCAAATAATCATGGACATCAAGGTTCCACAGCATGGTCAGTCAAGGAGGACATCAGCACAACACAATACCATTAGCTCCATAGATTAAGTGCTCATTGAACAAGAGAATGTTAAAAAGTTTATTGCCAAGGGGAAACAACCACCAGTGGGCCATAATGGCATTAACCCTTAGCAGAAATTGAATTCAGACATCTAAGTTGTCATGACTGCCTCCTATGGGAACCCCTTCTTCTCCTTCCGTGGTTCAGCTTGCATGCCATACATCCCTGCATAACTTAAAGCACTGAATATTCCATTGTTACATCCATCAAAACTTATTTACACTCTTGAATTTATCTTAATGCTCCCAGCGTTTCTAAGTATACACAATTTTCACCCAGATATTCAATAAACATTTTCCAATCTTCTTCAAACGTATGTTCTCTTGTTCTATATGTTAGGTCTGCTGGCTGCATATATTCCATCAGTTTAAGTTGCCGCTCTTCTTTGGTTGGGACCTCACTCGTTTTCCATTTTTGGGCTAACATGGGTTGCAGTAGTGGCATACATAAATAACGTCTGGTAATCTGACACCTGGGAATTTCCATCTGAATTATCCTCAACAAAAAGGACTCTGGTTTTTTTGGGGGGAGGGGGAGTACTTTAAAACATTTTTTTCAGGTCATTATAAATTATTTCCCAGTACTCTTTTACAAGTCCACCGCATATGATGGAACGCCCTGAGTGCTCACTGGAAGGACAGATCCTGAAGCTGAGGCTCCAATACTTTGGCCACCTCATGAGAAGACTCCCTGGAAAAGACCCTGATGTTGGGAAAGATGGAGGGCACAAGGAGAAGGGGACGACAGAGGACGAGATGGTTGGACAGTGTTCTCGAAGCTACCAGCATGAGTTTGACCAAACTGCAGGAGGCAGTGGAAGACAGGAGGGCCTGGAGTGCTCTGGTCCATGGGGTCACAAAGAGTCGGACATGACTAAACAACAACAATACCCTGAACCTCATTGCATCTCCAGATGTACTTCCACATATCTGTCCGGATTCTTCCAGCATTAATCTCCATTGGATGTCCATGAGTTCTACTGTTAGGAGAGAGAGTGATGGAGAAACTGTTCCCTAGCCACTATATCTATGCAATGAATAATTTTATAAACTTCTCTCATGTTACCTCTCAGTCACCTTTTCGCTATACTAAAAACTTTCTTCGGAGGTGAGTCACTTGATTATTTTGGTTGCCCTATTCTGAACCCCTTCCAACTCTGCAATACCCTTTGTGAGGTGAAGGGACAGTACACAGTATTCAAAATGACTGGCCAAAATTCAAATTACAGCTAGTGGGAGCTTCCGCCATTCCAAGCGGCTGGCCTGGGGATTCCCCTACTGCCAAGCGCCCAGACCAGCGTTGCTCCCTGAGGCTCAGAGCCCACTACTAAGAGCTTGGGTAGGCAAACTAAGGCCTGGGGGCAGGATCCGGCCCAATTGCCTTCTAAATCCAGCCCACGGAAGGTCCAGGAATCAGTGTGTTTTTACATGAGTAGAATGTGTCCTTTTATTTAAAATGCATCTCTGGGTTATTTGTGGGGCATAGGAAATCGTTCACCCCCCTCCAAAATATAGTCCAGCCCCCCACAAGGTCTGAGGGACAGTGGACTGGCCCCCTGCTGAAAAGGTTTGCTGACCCCTGACTAAGAGCCACAACCGCCACCCATCCCAGGACTGGGTAAGCAGCCATTATAACCACAAGGTCCTGTTCCTGATCATTCCCCACCAGTTCAGACCCCATAAGTATAAATGTGAAATTAAGATTTTTTTAATGCCAGCATACATCACTTTCCACGCGTTTACACTGAATTGCATTTTACATTTAATTGCCCACCCACTAAGTTTGGAGAGGTCCTTTTGAAGCTCTTTCACAATCTCTTTTGGGTTTAACAACCCTGAACACTTTAGTCTCCTCGGCAAACGTTGCCACCTCACTTGGCAATCACATACTATCAGCCCTTGAAGTGTTTAAAGCTAAACCCCAAGCACAGTTATTATACGGGGCTCAGATTTGGACAGGCACTCACCTCACAGAAGCTGTTCAATCTGAGTTCCTAAGGCAATTCTTCCCCCGTTCCATCCTGTGTTCCAAATGCTTCATTGCGCTTGGAGGCTAATCTCCCCTCTGTTGAATTACAGATTTGGCGTAGGACATTTAATTATTGACTTCGGCTAAATTTAAACCCCACTGATCTACTACCCTTAGTATCGCAAGATTGTCATGAGAGTGCTTGGACTAAAATTGTCAACCAAAAGCTTTACTTTTCAGGTTTAACAACAGTTGTTAATACTGGGCTTCAGTAAAGCAAATAATTTAATTAGACAGCGCCTATATGATATTGAGCGACAGAATAATTTCGCCACAATAAGGAAATTTTGTCCATGGTATGATTAATTTCTACCTAGCCATTCTGACACGTTGGCACCCTCTTTGCAAAATTTAACAATTCCAAAATACAGAGGCGCTTTCACTATTTCGCAAGATTGAATATGCTGCTTTTGGCTGTCCTTGAGGGTTGATTTCAAAAAATTATGCTGGAAAAATGGTTATGTCCATGTGGAGATGGCGGTATTGAGTCAGTGGCTCATGTGCTTCTGGCTTGCACTCTTCATAAAGATTTGAGGAGTGAGGTTGCTACCCCTCTATTATTGTCCACACTGGGTTGCTCAACCATTGATACCGTGTCCTTTCTTTGAGCAGATCAAGATGATCAGGAGATAGCAAAAACTGCAAGGTTTTTTAGCAGGGACAATTAGAATAAGATCTATTATTTGATTATTGATGTAAACCTCCAAAATGTATTTTGTACAGTTAAGTTTTTACTTCTATCTTCCGTACATTTTATTTTATATTATTGTGATGGCTAGTGGCTGATGCAAAGAAGAAGAAGAAGAAGAAGAAGAGGAGGAGGAGGAGGAGGAGGAGGAGGAGGAGGAGTTTGGATTTGATATCCCGCCTTTCACTCCCCTTCAGGAATCTCAAAGCAGCTAACATTCTCCTTTCCCTTCCTCCCCGACAACAAACACTCTGAGAGGTGAGTGGGGCTGAGAGACTTCAAAGAAGCGTGACTAGCCCAAAGTCACCCAGCAGCTGCATGTGGAGGAGTGGAGACGCAAACCCAGTTCCCCAGATTACGAGACTACCGCTCTTAACCACTACACCACACTGGCTCTCAAATAAAGATTCTTCTGATCTTGCCACCTCACTGCTCACCCATAATACGGCTGTTTAACAGATTCCTGATCCGGAGAGGACTTCTCCTCTTGTTGCATGATTGCTAAGCTTAAAAGGTAAAGGTAAAGGTACCCCTGCCCGTACGGGCCAGTCTTGACAGACTCTAGGGTTGTGCGCTCATCTCACTCTAGAGGCCGGGAGCCAGCGCTGTCTGCAGACACTTCCGGGTCACGTGGCCAGCGTGACGAAGCTGCTCTGGCGAACCGGCACCAGAGCAGCACACGGAAACGCTGTTTACCTTCCCACTATAAAGCGGTCCCTATTTATCTACTTGCACCCGGAGGTGCTTTCGAACTGCTAGGTTGGCAGGCGCTGGGATCGAACGACGGGAGCGCACCCCGCCGTGGGGATTCAAACCACCGACCATGCTATTGGCAAGTCCTAGGCACTGAGGTTTTACCCACAGCGCCACAGGAGTATTTGGTGAGGTAGCTTGGCAAGAGCTTTTTTGAAAGGACATCCATAGGCATCCATTATGGTCACAATCATGCTCCTTAGTTAATACAGGGCAACTAAGGACAGCAAGACAGGAGCTGAGTGTTCCTGGTTGTTAGGGTGATAGAGTTTATAATATTTTTCTATATCTGTGGTGTTTATTTTAAATTACGTTAAAAGTCCATTTGTTGTTTGTGTTCATGGTTGCCTCCAACCTTTTACATGATTGTACTGTTCCCTGAGGCAAAGCAAGAGACCACCAGCTTCTGAGGTGATTTCTTAGTTATTTATTCTTGGCTCATCAGACTTTCCCATTTGGCCCATGAAGCTGTTTTGGGCAAACCATAGCCACTCGCCCTATGCCTGATGTCATGCAGGTGAGGGCAGGGCTTGCCTGCCCCTGAAAGCACCTGACAACCAGGCACCTTCCGCTGCCCAAGTCCATCACTTTAGGAGCAAGAGGGTACTTTAATTCAAATCACCAATCTCCTTTTGCTTGGTAAAGGTTCTCTCAAACCCTATTTGCCTTATAGTGTCCCCAGTTCCAGGTTTCTAGTACCTTAAACATTCTCCCAACTACTGGTATTCTGCTGCCACCATGTAAACACTAATATCTCTAACTGACTTTGCCACAGCAAATATGTTCTCAGATATGTTCTCTTGAACTGGAGCACCTTTGACTTGTTTGGATTAAGGTGCATATGTCAAAGCTACGCCCCTTCAGAAAGGCAGAATAGCTGTGCCAAATGATCTACACCTGCGGAGATCATGATACTGTTCGGTTCTACTCCCCCGTCTTCCAAAAAATCAGGTTGGGCAAGTTCTAGAAAGAAACCATAGGAACACAGAAAAACACAGAAGAACAATGTCATATAGGTAAAGGTAAAGGACCCCTGGACAGTTAAGTCCAGTCAAAGGCAACTATGGGGTGTGGCGCTCATCTCGCTTTCAGGCCGAGGGAGCCAGCGTTTGCCCATAGACAGCTTTGTGGGTCACGTGGCCAGCAGGACTAAACCACTTCTGGCACAGCGGGACACCGTGACGGAAACCAGAGCGCACAGAAATGACGTTTACCTTCCCGCTGCAGGGGTACTTGTTTATCTACTTGCACTGGTGTGCTTTCAAACTGCTAGGTTGGCAGGAGCTGGGACAGAGCAATGGGAGCTCACCACATCAGGGGATTCGAACTGCCAACCTTCTGATCAGCACGACCAAGAGGCTCAGTGGTTTAGACCGCAGTGCTAACCACTCCCTTTAATGTCATATAACTTCCCTATAAAACACGAGTGGGGGGGGGAGTGGAAATTCTGGAGTAAAGTTCTGTGGGAACATCTTCATTTGACCTTAGTCTGATATTTTAAATAATGACATCTAGTGATTAACATGGTGTTTTTTTTACAATCTGTTTCATCAGTTTGGAATGATTTGGAATAACCATTCACTATATACATTTGTTCTGCATGCTTTGCTTGCAGCCATTTATTATGGCCTGATAACCACTGTTGGGAAGAAGAAGTTGGGAAATTATTTATAGAGCACAATATGATTTGATGAGCGTTTGTAGATTTTAACATGATTAACTGCCCTTTCATTGTTTAACCCATTACAGGTAAATGTACACATTGTGTGTGTGTATAGATAAAGATATAGATACAGTGGTACCTCGCAAGACGAATGCCTCGCAAGACGAAAAACTCGCTTGACGAAAGGGTTTTTGGTTTTTTGAGTTGCTTCGCAAGACGAATTTCCCTATGGGCTTGCTTCGCAAGACGAAAACGTCTTGCAAGTTTGCGGTGTTAACTCATAGCAACTCATGTTGCTGTACAGTGGTGCTTCGCAAGACGAAAAATTCGCAAGATGAAAAAACTCGCAGAACGAATTAATTTCGTCTTGCGAGGCACCACTGTATGTGGATATATATCTACTGTTTGAGAACTGTAAAGGGAGGTGAAAGGGAAGAAACAGTCACATAAACAAAAGCTAACAGAGAAGGAAAGGACATCCTTAATAGCTGTGTCATCGTTGACTTTGGGAATATAGAATCTGAATTATTTGTATTATTTACCATAACATAACAGAGTCGAAATGCTTTGACAACATTAATAAATTTAAGGGTGTCAATAATTTGGAAAATGCAGGTTAAAGACACAGACAAGTTCAAGGTTACCAGCATTAAGCCAAATACAAATCTAAAGGACAAGGTGACACTGATGTTGATGGAACACCTGTCAGTTTCAGTTGAGTAGGAAGGCAAATGGTCTGCAGGACAAAACATTCCTATGTTTCCTTTTCATCTTATTTGGCAACAGGGAGGAGGGGGCTAGAAAACTTGTACACCTTGCACGGGAGCAGGGACTTCAAAAGTACTAACACCCGTTGAAATGAATGGGAAATGTACAAGTGCTCACTTTCACAGTTATATAAGTATGATATTTGAAGAATATGGGGTTAATGTCCAAAATATGTTAACCATTTTTGATAAATGGACTTCTAAAAAAAGAATATGAAGCTCAGTTGCACATCTGAACTTTTTTTTTAAAAAAATCAGTATTTAAAAAATATTGTCAATAAGGTTGGAAAATCAATTGCTGCTCTCTCCCCAGGCTTTCGTTACCCGCCCCCCCCCCGTCATTAGAGTTAGTATATAGACACACGTTAACTTGTAAATGATGCGGCAGACGGCAGTGTTTGTTCAAGTCAATTTTTGAATCTGTTTCCTTGATATTTATTTGATCATAATAATTTCTGAGAAGATGAAAATCCTAATAATGAGAATCACACGAAAGCATCAACAGTCACGCAGTGTTTCTGGTGTCCTACAACTTATTTGCTGTCCGCTTTCCTTCCTGGGGATGTTAATTTTCTCATTTGCCTTTTCTTTGATTTTACTTTTCACCCTGGTAGAAGACGAGAGACAATAGCAACATGTCAAAAGGTGAACAACACTGCCATCATTTAGAAATATATTTTTGGGAAATACACATATAGTTATTACAAGTTATGTATACATCTGTGTACCTGTATAATTATATTATTTGTACCCCGTCCATCTGACTGGGTTGTCCTGGCCACTCTGGGCGGCTTCCCCCCAAAATATAAAAACACAGGAGGACATCATATGCTAAAAACTTCCCTATACAAGGTTGCCTTAACGTCTCTTCTCAAAGTCAGATAGATGTTTATTTCCTTGACATCTGATGGGAGGGTGTTCCACAGGGCAGGCGCCACTACTGAGAAGGCCCTCTGCCTGGTTCCCTGTAACCTCACTTCTTGCAGTGAGGGAACTGCCAGAAGGCCCTTAGAGCTGGACCTTAGTGAACAATGGCGGTGGAGACACTCCTTCAGGTATACTGGGCCGAGGCCGTTTAGGGCTTTAAAGATCAGCACCAACACTTTGAATTGTGCTCGGAAACATACTGGAAGCCAATGCAGGTCTTTCAGGATTGGTGTTATATGGTCCCTGCGGCCGTTCCCAGACACCAATTTAGCTGCCACATTCGGGATTAGTTGCAGTTTCCGAGTTACGGTCAAAGGTAGCCTCATGAAGTGCACTGTTTGACCTTGGGCCATTCATCCTCATCTACCTCATAGGGGTGTTGTGAGGAAGGTCAAGCTGAGAAACTGAATGTTGATGCATCGGTTTTATATGTGTTGGTATCAACCCTGCTATCTATCTTACCTCTCATTTGTGATGCCATCCTACATTAACTATTACATTCTGCTTGCCAGTCCTCTGGTATGACAGGAGAAACCAGTTCTTTAAACTTCTGCAAGGGGCAAGCTGCTTCACAGCCCGGCAAAACAAGAGCTTGGGGTGGAAGTTTTCTTTTGGCCCGATAGTGCATCTCAATGGTGAACTCACTGAAAAGAAGAAATGTAGGTCATTAAGAGCATTATGTTGTGTGGATGCCTGATGATCGTCTTCCAAAGCAACTTGTGACGGCCTGGGAATCCGATTCAGAGGATGAACCGGAGGAATCCCAGCCTGCACAGGAGTCCCCGCCTCCAGGGCCGGCTGAACTGGGGCAGGGCCTTGATTCTGAGGCGCCTGCACCTGTGCCGGATCCTCAGGAGCAGGCACCAGGTGAATCCATTCTGGCTCCAGAGGTAGTTGAGGACTCAGTGCCTACAGGTGAGTTTCCCCCTGGGCCCAGTAACCCTTCAGCCTCTCCTGAACTGCAGAGGCTCAGGGCAGAGAGGCGAAAGGAACTGGTTTCTCCCAGGAGGAGTGCTCGCCTTAAGGCCAGGAGAGGCGGGTCTCCTGGGGGCCCGGACCACCCCTGGCCTCAGAGAAGATAAAGGCCAGTCAGCCCGGTCCCAGGTTGCGAGAGCAACGTCGTCGCTGAGTACCTGCTCCTGTCCGGACCCAGACCTGACCCTCCAGTGTTCCTGTCCCCGTTCGGCTTCCTGCTTCGGACCTCGCCCCGCTCCTTGCGAACTGTTTCCAGGCTAGTGACCCAGGACCGGACTTCGACTACGTCAACGGTAACCTTCCCCCCGGGACCAGCACACAACTACTCTATTCCAAACTTAAAAATGGAAAGTGTAATGCTGTTGGCCAACAAAAGAGGTTTAAAGACTGTCTCAAGGCAAATCTTAAAAAATGTAGTATAAACACTGACAACTGGGAAACACTGGCCTGCAAGCGCTCCAGTTGGAGAACAGCCTTTACCAAAGGTGTCGTGGGCTTTGAAGACACTTGAACTCAGGACGCAAGGGAGAAACATGCTAGCAGGAAGGCATGCTTGGCAAATCCACACCGTGATCAATTCCCGCCTGGAAACCAATGTCCCCACTGTGGAAGAACATGTGGATCCAGAGTTGGCCTCCACAGTCACTTGTGCATTCATTGTTAAAACCGTGTTTATGTAAGACAATCTTACTCGGCTATGAGTGATCGCCAAAGAAAGAAGAAGTCATTTCTACAAGATGCAGCCATATATCACCCAGGCCTCACTTCCATTTCATAAGAATTGCTTTGAAAACTCTTCTGATAAGATGGGTGGACTTCTGTATTGCTAACCACGGAAGGCTCAAGACAAGTTGCTGATTTTCTCGACTGAATGCTAATCATCTTGATGGGATTTACTTAAAGAAGCAAAACCAACCCTTTGTCACAAGCCGTCTGGTTGTTCAGTTTATTTCATGCATATCTATTTAGAAATATGTCCCACAGATATCAATGGGGTTTATTCTGAAGTAAGCCTGCAAAGGATTTCATTCCTACAGGCAGCCCTTGTTGAATTCTGCCTTCAGGCAGTGCAATTATGGGCATAGTTGCTTAGAAGTAAATTTCATTGTGTTCAGTTGGGATTCTTCTCTATTAAGTGCGTTGAGGCATAATCATGCACATGTTGTCTCAGAGGTGAGTCCCTCTGCTTATGACCCATTAAATGTGACTAGAATTGCACTATTGTTTTGGATGTGGTTTAAGAAATCCTTTCATGAAATTGGATATTTTGTGGAATTTAGTCTTGTTTTTCTTTAATAATCGAGAAAAGTTAGGAAAAAGTGGGTAGACAACCTCTCTTGAGCATCTCTCAGTCTTTCATTTGGGAGGCCCATGACACCTTTTCATTGTTGCCCAGTTCCAACCTTCTGTTTCAAGTAATTATGATTTAATTGGGGTTTCTCAGCAATGCATCAATGATCAATATTGTAGATTTGGCACAAAGTGTGACTCAACCCTTTCAACCCCTTTCTGTCTTTCAAAGGTATGCACACCTCAGGCACTCAGCTATGAAATAATTTTTCAATAGCATTTTGAACAGCCAGACATCAAGCTCAAACGCAGAGGGAACGCAACTGATTTTTGGCCCATTTCAGCAGTGCAGGAATTGTGAGAAGAAATACTGTGTTTGAGAAGATGAGTGAATTTGCAGATGCTTACCCAATAAGTCACTGGTAATTATTGAATATACGAGTTCATATTTACCCACTGTCTTCTTTATATAGCTCAAAAAATAGGCAGGCGGCGTATGGCGGTAGCTTTACGTTGAAAATATTGAGTGCTACTTGGAGAGCAACTATTGTGGTATCATGCTATAAAAGGAAGAAAAAAGAATTTCTTATAACTTTTATGACAGAAGTTTGGGGTGTGTACATATGTGTATGTGTGTATATGTGTAGTGATGTATGGAAGTGAGAGCTGAACCATAAAGAAGGCTGATCGCCGAATAATTGAAGCTTTTGAATTATGGTGCTAGAGGAGACTCTTGAGAGTCCCATGGACTGCAAGAAGATCAAACCTATCCATTCTTAAGGAAATCAGCCCTGAATGCTCACTGGAGGGACAGATCCTGAAGCTGAGGCTTCAATACTTTGGCCACCTCATGAGAAGAGAAGACTCCCTGGAAAAGACCCTGATGTTGGGAAAGAGAAGGGGATGACAGAGGACGAGATGGTTGGACAGTGTTCTCGAAGCTACCAGCATGAGTTTGACTAAACTGAGGGAGGCAGTGGAAGACGGGAGTGCCTGGCGTGCTCTGGTCCATGGGGTCACAAAGAGTCGGACACGACTAAACAACTAAACAACAACACACATATGTGTATATATGAATGTATAGAAAGAGAGTTCTTATCTCAGACTCTGCTAGTTTCAAAGATGCCATTTTAGACAAGGACCTCCTTATGGTCTCTAGGATATGTAATATTGCAAAGGCAACATGCTTGCAAATAATCCAAGCAGGCACTAAAGGGAATGAAATGTGCAACAAAATGGGGTTGTAAGACCTCAGGCTAGTTCCAGACAGTCAGCTAATTTAGTATTTTAACATGTAGTTTCTTCACATTTGTAGCTCTGAGGCTGCCTTCAGTATCAGTGAAACCTTATGTCAATCATCTATTTCTCTGTGTAATTACTTTTATTTTGCAGGAACATGAGCTGTGTTGGGACCCTGATTTGGGCTGGAGGGCTATGCAGTTTTCCTACCCAAATCTCTCCCTACAGCCCCCCAAAGATAATGTACAGAATGTGGCCCAATCCAGACCAGGAGGGTAGGGCGACTCATCAAGAGCATAACTGTTTCCCCTTCAAAGTAAAAAGTGACACTCTGTTTTTCAACCCTGTTTTTAAAAGATGTGATGCGCATAATGTTACTTGAGTAGACAAATTGCATTTCCAAATAGCCTGCTTAAAGAGAGGAGCCAAAAAGTAGCAGGAGAATGCGAGCTACAGAAGGTTTGGTCAATTTAAAATGTTCATACTTACGGCTGAATACATTAACATTTTTCTTCCATCAGTGGACTCAGTAGCCTCTGTCATCTTATTCAAAATATCTTTCACAAGGAGACCTTAATGGTGATGGAAAGGAATACAGATGCTGGTGAAACGAAGAAGCCCTTTTATCTTTAACCAATTGTTAAAGTAAATTGGCAAAGACTTTTTTTCCAGCTGGGGCAGAGAAGTTCTAACATTCTAGTAATACTCCCAATTCAATTGGGACAGTTGACGGGTATACAATATGGGTGCTGACTTGGTCTATATACACATAGGAATGTGACTTCGGACTCAGCTACATTAGCAAAGGAAGGAAGGAAGTGTTTTAAATGCGCTATAACATTGGGACACCAGTTGGCACTGTAGAGTTGGACCCTTTGGCAACATGACTTCCCACTATAAGCTTTATAATGCGTTTTCCTGAAATGTTTCTTTAATGAGTCTAGATCCAGCCTTTGTGTCTACACATGAGGAATGCAGCACTTGGTCTCTCTGAGTGTCCAGCCTTCAAAGCAGCCCTTGAACCAAGATAAGTTAGTTGTTCCTGCTTTAGATAATATGCATGCCATATAGAAAGATGTGGGCATTGTTTTGCTTTTTCTTACCTCCTTGTAGTCGTGATTTCTTTTCTCTTTTGTGTATCCCAAACATTGCATTTAAGGAAAATGCCAAAAGATCTTTCAAATTGGCCATGACTTCGTCAGTAGCCCAGGCTGGTAATGGCTGCTTGTGTTTTTTCTACAGTTGAAAAGAAATAAAAGCGGGTGGTGATTCATCTGTCAGCCATGCCTTTGCTCTCTCACTCTCATCTGTTCTGTTGTTTCACAGACCTTCATGTTTCTATATAGGAAAACCCATTCCATGCCACATTGGGGCCCACACAAAATGGCTCACAGCCAGCCAATAAAACCATATTACAATGAGAGGGGATTTGGTCTAAATAAATTTCCACAATTGTAGGATTAGAATTAGACTACATAGGTTTTTGAGGTCTCCTCTCCCAGCCCCATGTCTATGGCAGTTAAAGGAAAAAAACACACAGTCCCAACTGGGTTGATGAACTCAGTCTAGAAGTTCCCCTTTTTGTGGGGGGAGAATAGGCCTCTGCCTAACTAAAGGGGTGTTTTAGCTTGGCTGAAATGTGTCTTTGATTTCTGATAATGTCTCTTATATGGCGCATAGAGAGGTGTGTGTGTACCAGCCTTTCTCAACCTGTGGGTCCCCAGATGTTGTTGAACTACAACTCCCATCACCCCTAGCTAGCAAGGCCAGAGCTCAGGGATGATGGGAGTTGTAGTCCAACAACATCTGGGGACCCACAGGTTGAGAACCGCACAAAGGTAAAATGTACATTTATAGCTCTACACAACCTTGCCCCCTAAAACCACCACTGATACGTGGTCCTACCTTGGAAGGTTTCCTAGATGGAAATGTGTCCCTGAAGCTGAAAATGGTTCCTCATCCTCGATGTAAACAGTAACTTGGACCACTGCAGCTTCTGCTACTATGGTTACAACAGCCTCCAGCACAAATGATATTGGAAGCAGGATCGTTAATGACCTTGCCACAAGTGTGGCTTTTATCTGTCATGTGCCACCTGACCTCGTCCTAAACCCCTTGGTCTTTTTTGTTGGGGATGAACGAGTTTCATATAGGTTTACTAGAAATTACCTGAACAAGTAAAGCATCGTATGCATTCCAGAGTTTGTGACTCTTAAAATCCAGAAGAGCCTTCATATCGTATCCCAGGTTAGCTGCTAATTTACCTAGAAATGGCTGAAAGATAAAGAGCAGAAGGATTAATGAACCAGTAAGTGCAAATGAATGGTAGGGCCTGATCCTGCAGTGACTGACATTTTTTAATGGGGCAGAGTTTTGCCCTGCCAGTTCCATAATGTGGAGGGTGCTGCAGAGAGAAAGTGAGCAGGAGAGGCCCCAGTGGGCATTTTGTGCATGCCCCCTGCAAACTTGGCAGCGCCACGGCCTGCTCCCCGCAGCCAACAAGGCAATCCGCCCAGACCTCTTTCATTGCCCCCTTTGGGAAAATTGATTCTCGCTTTATTTTACAAGCAGGCAGGAACATGAAAAATAAAACATTTCAAAGCTGCACAGTGCACAGGTTGTAATTTCAGAGAGATAAGAGAGTCCGTTTGGGGACGGTTGATTCATCTCCAGTTTTAAGCAGCTCAAGGAAGTCAGTTTGACTTGCACAACTGCTAAAAGGACGTGTAAGCAAAACAATAGCAAATTTATAATGAGGAAAAACGGTTTATAATAGACGTCACATCAAGAAACAAAAGGCATTTGGCTGTCTTATCAGACATTCGCAGCACATTCTGAGGTATGTCTACTCAGAAGTAAGCACCATTGATTTCAGTGGGATTTACTCGCATGGATTGCAGCCATAAGATTTTCCCTTTCCATTTCTTACCATTTGACTTTTCAGTTTTTCCTGGACTGTTTCGGATCCAAAAGTTTCCTTTAGAAGCTGACCGAACTTTGGACATGGAGCGTGAACAGGATAATGCAACAACTAATGAAATGAAATGAAACATATCAGCTAAAAAGACCTCCTCATATTGTCATCTGCCTGTGTATAATACATATGTCCATCCTAAATTCAGATTATTAGTGGGAAGATGCTTGAAGAGCAACCAGTCAGTAGCGTGTGATTACAACTCCCACTTTTTCGGTTGCAAAAAGTTGCCTTGGTCAGGGGAGGCTTGTGCTAAAGGCTTGGTGGGTTTGCATGGAGATAGAAAGTAGAGCGTCCATGCTTGCTAGACTTTCAGTGCTGACCTTTCTTCAGACTGATACTCTCAGGGCTGCTGACCTCACTTCCTCCTTCTTCACCCCACCTTTGAGAGGAGTTATCTTTCCTTTCTCGCTCTACTGCAGAGATGGAAGAGCAAGCATGGTTCTTTGTACATTTACCTCAGCTGCACCTAGGATCTGTGGTATCCAACAAATATTTCCTACAATAAACTTCACTTTCTTATTTCCCCTACTCAGAGTCTGAGTGTGACTGCAGCAAGGGTCAAATGTGCCCCTCCGAGCAGGGGTTTTAATGCACACTGTAACTTCTGCTGGTGCATATAAGCTCCAAGTGCCGTCACAGACTACCTTCCCCATGCTCATGGCCTTGGTCCATGGGCCCTTGGAGGGATGCGGGTGGCGCTGTGGGTTAAGCCACAGAGCCTAGGACTTGCCGATCAGAAGGTCGGCAGTTCGCATCCCCGTGATGGGGTGAGCTCCCGTTGTTTGGTCCCAGCTCCTGCCAACCTAGCAGTTCGAAAGCACGTCAAAGTGCAAGTAGATAAATAGGTACCGCTCCGGCGGGAAGGTAAACGGTGTTTACGTGCACAGCTCTGGTTTGCCAGAAGCGGCTTAGTCATGCTGGCCACATGACCCGGAAGCTGCACGCCGGCTCCCTCGGCCAATAAAGCGAGATGAGCGCCGCAACCCTAGAGTCGGTCACGACTGGACCTAATGGTCAGGGGTCCCTTTACCTTTACAGCTGGTTTTTGCAAATAGAAGCTCTAACGCTGTATCATAACTCCAAGACTTCTCTCTCTCTCTCTCTCTCTTATCTCTATTTATCTCTCTATTTAAGTGAAATATTCACCTCTCAGGTTGCCATGTTTCCATTGAACTGGGAGTGGAAAAGGTTAAAAATACCACACGTTTCCTTACCCTTTCCTCTGAACGTGGCACAGTATGAACTGGAATTGGTTGCCAAGCGATCTCTTTGTTCCAGATTTGGTTTCCTTTAGGAGGAAAGAGTCCGGCCAGATTGGCTTGAGCACTCATAATGGTTCGATCATAATCTGTACTTCGGACATAAATCTGAGAAGGAAAAAATGAAAGAGTGGCTCAGGATGGTATTGTTGTTTTGATCCTAGATGGTTGTTTTCCACAGGGGGAGGTATAGCTCTAACTTGCATACCCACACCAACCCACTTTCAGGGTTGCTGTTCTGGTGACTGCTGTCTTCTTTTTCTGTCTGTGCCCCACCTCCTAACTGGAAATCCAGTGGGAGGGGAGGGACAGAACCAGGAGGACACGGGAAAGGAAAGACAGGGTCTTTCACCTTTTCTCGCCCTCTCTGCTGCAATGATCATAGTAGCCACTGTAAGGAGGGGAAAGGTTGGCGATGGAGAGTCACTGCGGATGCTGCTAGGCTTGTGGGGATTACAGTTATGAGTAAATTTTGAACACATGGTGGAAATCACTACACCTTCTGCTTCTATTTGCTTGTCCCAATCCAACAAGCATGGGGAAACCCATCCATAGCTAAGTGGCATTTTAGAATGAATTGATTTTAGAATGTATTTCAATTAATTGATTGTGATTTTATGTAAACTGTGTTACTTTTACTGTTGTTAGCCGCTCTGAGCCCGGCTTCGGCTGGGGAGGGCAGGCTATAAATAAAATTTTATTTATTTATTTATTTATTTATTTATTTATCATCATCATCATCATTATCATAGTTTGACTCTAACATTACATTAGTATAAATGCTATTGCTGAGAAAACGGGGAAGTTAGTTCCAATACTTGCTTCCTTTCGCTTGTATTCATCACTTAAGAAGTCCTTATATCTGTCCTTTATGAGTTGACCCAACAAGTATTGCTGCTGCATTCCACGCTGTGGGGAAAAGGAAAAGTATGCATGTAAAACTCATTGATGCAATTTACCGTCCCCTCCAAGCTACTTCTGACTATTTCAACGGATAAAGGAACACTTTGTGTATTCTAGGCTCGCGGTGTTGGGTGTACATTACACCATCATGAAAAAGCTAAGCTCTGGATTTTGGCCTGTTCCTTTCTGCAGCACCAGAAGAACAAGGTTAACATCTAGATTTGTGGCAGGTCTCCAAGACTGAAAAAAGAGGCTGGACCAGATTCTGTTACAAGTTATGGATGTGTGCTGATATGGCTGTAGCTCTCAGATCACTGGCATTGTTCTAGAGCTGGGTTATGAACGCCATTTACATTCACAGCCCAAACTGCGGACTATGATAGTGGGAGCTGTGTTTTGGCAACTTCTGCAGCCTGGGAGTAAAATGTTCACTGCTCTTCGTTGAGCGGGGGCTTATGATGGTGGCATCAGGTTTTCTTCTTCTAAACGATGTTTTGTTGCCATTCCACATCCTGCTTGATGCATGGCTTTTCTCTTCTCGCCCACAGCAATATTCTTGGAACAAGACTACCTCATGAGGAAGTGTCGTTTATAAGGACTCAGTTTGGGGTGAGGAAGATGGAACCCATGCTCAACAGCAGCAAAAGATTCGAACGTTGCAAAATTTCTAAATGCCGCAATTGACCTTAGACTATGATTGCTCTTTGCTTTTTTAAAAAAATAAATAAATTTATGTAGTTAACATTCTGTAATTTGAGTTAGTGGACCATACATAAATTATATTACTGTTTGTGTACGTTGTACTGAAATGGGCATTGCTATTATTGGAGCCTGAAATAATAAATTACAACGTTTCAGAAGTTTCAGAAGCTTTGTAGAGATTTGGACGTTTGAGCAGTATAGCCATTCTGTTAAATAAAATAATAAAACTAATAATTAGTATCTTAATGAGTATTATATACAGGCAAACAAATCAACAAAATACGTTTTCATTTGTTAGAGCATTATCAGACCGTTGTGAGCTGTCCATATCCTTGTGGCCAGACATCTTCGTTGACCACATTAGTGGGAAAAGTTGAAAGAGGGTTTCTGTCGCCATGCCGGTAAACCTGGTGAAATGTTTTGAAGATTGCATTAGTTTTCAAGAAAATAGAATTGGATGCAATCTATCAGAAAGAAGAACAGCAAAGATCAACACTGTCAAGGTCATTGTTAGCACTGAAAAGAAGAGCTCACGCTTACCAATACAACATACTTCAGTTCCCTTCCTGTGATACTTGGGAGAAGCAGACCCAAGAACAGGATGAAGAAGGCGAAGCCACGGCTATTAAAACCGTGCCACAGATGCATCACTGACCCCGTTACTCCCCGTTAGTCAAGGTTGAAAGGGGGAAAGTTGTGTTTTATAAAGAGCAAATCAAGGGGTGGAGACTCTCTGTAAATTTGATCCTGGAGTTTAACTGGAAGGCTACTGATTTATGTATTTTTGTAATACAGTCAAGGACTGAGAAGGAGATGCCAAATTCTGTAGGCCTGGAGGACCACACTTGCCTGGGGGATGTGCCCCATTGCTTTTCTCCAAAAGGAAGGACACTTAGGTCTCTGCTTATGGGCAGGGAACCAAAGATAATGGGGAGGTTGCAGTCTCAGACTTCCAGGAAGAACATCATGGCAGGTTGAAGGTGAGCCTTGACCTTTCCAATTGGCCAGAGAAGGAAAAGCTGCAGGAAGCTTACCCCAACCCCTTGCCATCCCCAGCTCAGTTTGTGTATATGCATTCATGTTATAATGGTCTTTTGCTAGCTGCCTTGAGGACCGCTCAATCCAGTGGTAGGTGGGGTGCAAATCTTCTAAATAAATAAGCAAACATAGTGGCATTGCTGCCAGGAGGGGAGAAACACGCCACTCGCCCACCACACTTCTTGTCACTCAGGGTAAAGGTATGTCAGTGATGGTGGTAACAATAACCCAAACCTATTTAGAAGATAAAAGGGACGCGGGTGGCGCTGTGGGTTAAACTACAGAGCCTAGGACTTGCCGATCAGAAGGTCGGCGGTTCGAATCCCCGCGACGGGGTGAGCTTCCGTTGCTCGGTCCCTGCTCCTGCCCACCTAGCAGTTCAAAAGCACATCAAAGTGCAAGTAGATAAATAGGTACTGCTCCGGCGGGAAGGTAAACGGCGTTTCCGTGCGCTGCTCTGGTTCGCCAGAAGTGGCTTAGTCATGCTGGCCACATGACCCGGAAGCTGTACTTCCTTGGCCAATAAAGCGAGATGAGCGCTGCAACCCCAGAGTCAGCCACAACTGGACCTAATGGTCAGGGGTCCCTTTACCTTTTATTTAGAAGATAAAGGTAAAGGTACCCCTGCCCGTACGGGCCAGTCTTGCCAGACTCTAGGGTTGTGCGCTCATCTCACTCTATAGGCCGGGAGCCAGTGCTGTCCGCAGACACTTCCGGGTCACGTGGCCAGCGTGACGAAGCTGCATCTGGTGAGCCAGCGTAACACACGGAACGCCGTTTACCTTCCCGCTGGTAAGCGGTCCCTATTTATCTACTTGCACCCGGGGGTGCTTTCGAACTGCTAGGTTGGCAGACGCTGGGACCGAATGACGGGAGCGCACCCTGCCGCGGGGATTCGAACCGCCGACCATGCGATCGGCAAGTCCTAGGCACTGAGGTTTTACCCACAGCCCCACCCGCGTCCCACAGATTTAGAAGATATTCAATGCAAAAATGTATAGGACAAATTATAATATCTGCTGGAAATGAAAAAAGGTACATTTTATCATATGTGGCGGACATGTAAGGTAATAAAAGCTTTCTGGGAGATGATATATTATGAAATTTAAAAAGTGCTGAAAATAACTTTTGTTAAGAACCCAGAAGCCTTTTTATTAGGAGTTATAGGTACTGACATACCAAAGGAGCAGAAAAGACTTTTTATGTATGGAACAACAGCCGCCCTGATGCTACTAGCCCAAAGATGGAAAGAAGACAAAGTCCCTATCAGAGAAGAATGGCAAAGCAAGCTGATGGACTATGCCGAGATGGCAAAACTGACAGGAACACTCAGAAACCAAGAGGACAAAAACTTTATAAAAGTATGGGAAAAATTTATAAGCTATTTAGGAGACCACTGTAAGCAGATGGAAACAAATGCAGAATTTTAACTTTACTTGTAGTGTTAAAATTACCATGGATAATATGGTTTGATATAAAAATTGGAGTGTGGAAGAATATGTAGTACAGTATTAAATGTTTAAGATGGGACCCCGTGGAGGGGATGGAGGGAAGTCCTGAGATTTGGAGGAATCTCTATATGAATATACTCTACGATTCTTCGCTTATAACTTTGTATATATAAAACCAATAAAAATGATTAAGAAGAAGATATTCTGTACAGATGCATAATCTCATGGCCAATTGAAGTATTCGTATGGGCAAATAATCATGGTCAGTCAAGGAGGACATCAGCACAGCACAATACCATTATCTCCATAGATTAAGTGTTCATTGAAGAAGAGAATGTTTAAAAGCTGAGGTACATAATATTGTAGAAACAGACCCAACCGCCAATGGACCATAGTAACATTTGCCCTTAGCAGAAATTGGACACAGACATCATAGGCATCCATTATGGTCAGGATTATGCCCTTTAGCTAATACAGGGCATCTAAGATTTGCAAGAGAGGAACCGAGTGTACCTGGTTGTTTGAGGGAAATGGAAATTATATTTCATGGCTCTAAGGAAAGGACACGTTGCCATAATCTTTTCCATTAATTAAGATTCCGTAGACACATGTTCAATAACTGAAAATAAGAACAAAATGGGGGTGCTTTCACATATGAATAGCAAACTCTACGGCAACAGGATTTTAGTGATGTGTAGCTGCACCATTGTAGCTGCACAGATGTAACTATTTAATTTATTTAGTTTGTTTAGCAAAGGTCTCCGGAGGGACTGGCAGCAAAGTTTTTATACAGAGGTAAATAACATGAATATCAGTACATCAATATGGATTTCACAAAAATGATATCATTTACAGAAGTGTCGTGAAATTAATAACATATAGCACAAACTTTCCACAGAAATGTCTTTTGAGATGTGGCCTCCTGAACCTTGAGCTTCACGCTGACAGGAGCAGAAACAACATTTTCACATTTACCTCAGCTCCACAGCAGTTTTCTCAGAAGTTGTCATGCTCAGGAACTAAAATTTAGAGCCCTTTATAACAAAAAAGGTATCAACCCAAAAAAAGTGGGGAACTTACAGTGCTGAGGAAATTCATAACCCATTTTGAAAGTTTAAAGGAAGCCTCACTACCAACCTGCACTTAAAGGTTCAGGGCCTTACAGAAAGGTAACATTGGGCATATCTAAACTTTCTGAGGTAACGAGTTAGTTGCCCATAATGGTGGCTGCTCTTTCCCTCACCTCTCCCACTGAGCGCGTTTGCCCTTGTTAAAGTAATGTACAGCAGTAACGTACACAGGCTCTTCCTAGGTTCAAGGTTTCAAGGAGAGGAGAAGAAGCAAGAATGCTTCATGTCAAAGGTGGGAGCCTTGCCCAACGAATCTGAGGAGCATATAGTTAAAAATATAAAGGCAAGTGAGAAAAACGTTCTTTAAGTTCCTCATAGCCCTTGCCCACTTCACCATCACACCCCACTCATCATAACTGTTGGCTGAGGCGGTTGCTTTATTCTGCCCAATGGTAGGGCCGGCCACAGAACCAACTGTTATACCAAAGTCCTCTCACTAAGTTTGCTCCTTATCTCCACAAGCCATGTGTGTGTGCATGCGTACACCCCCCAAAAAACCCCCGATGCATCTAAATAATGGACCGTAGTCTCTTCTTATGCCATAATAAATTTGGTTATCTTTAAGGTAAGATTCTATGGGTGACATTCAACTAAATGCTACTCAGACCTACAGTGGTACCTCAGGTTACATAAGCTTCAGGTTACAGACTCTGCTAACCCAGAAATAGTGCTTCAGGTTAAGAACTTTGCTTCAGGATGAGAACAGAAATCGTGCTCTGGCGGCGCAGCAGCAGCCGGAGGCCCCATTAGCTAAAGTGGTGGTTCAGTTTCAGGTTAAGTACGGACCTCCGGAATGAATTAAGTACTTAACCTGAGGTACCACTGTGCTGAAATGAATTTACCTGATCCTTAATTTCAATTGGTCTGCTCTGAGTAAAATGTAGTTGACTACTACCCTTTGGAAGGGATGCAGGTGGCGCTGTGGGTTAAACCACAGAGCCTAGGACTTGCCGATCAGAAGGTTGGCTGTTCGAATCCCCGCAACGGGGTGAGCTCCCATTGCTCAGTCCCTGCTCCTGCCAACCTAGCAGTTCAAAAGCACGTCAAAGTGCAAGTAGATAAATAGGTACCACTCTGGCAGGAAGGTAAACGGCATTTCTGTGCACTGCTCTGGTTTGCCAGAAGCGGCTTAGTCATGCTGGCCACATGACCCAGAAGCTGTATGCTGGCTCCCTTGTCAAATAAAGCGAGATGAGCGCCGCAATCCAGAGTCGGCCCCGACTGGACCTAATGGTCAGGGGTCCCTTTACCTTTACTACTCTTTGGAAACTGTAGTTAGATCCTTTTAACTCATTAGGACTTACTTTGCAGGAAACATGCCTAAGGCCAGGCTGCAATTAGAAAACTTACTGCAGTTGTGGTCAGGTAGCTCCTTAGATTCCACCCCCCCCCAAGGTTGATGACTCAAGGGGTAGCTGTTTAGGTAAGAAGGGTTTTTCACATAGCCTCCAAAACGATTAAGCAGGAACCAACAGGCTATTTTCCATCCCCAGATCTGTTCCCCTGAACTGGAGCACCTTGGAATCGTTTGGATCAAGGTGCGCATGTCAAAACTACGCCCCTTCAGAAAGGGTGGAACTACCTTGCCAAAAAAAATCTATGCCTGCAGCAATCATACTACTGCTGTTCAGTTTTCCACCCCACCTACCAAAACAACCGAGGCTTTGTGAGTTCTCAAAAGATCCCCATAAATGACCTGTATTCATTGTTTAGGTGAGTTGTCAGAATTCAAACCTTCTGGCCGATCCAACAGCTCGATAAATGAAAGCGGTGCTTGAAGAATACAGGATTTGTGCATGAAATAGGTAAATGGGTTTCTGAAAAAGATTATTGGAGTGTCTCCACCCCCATTGTTCTGCCCGGACACTGAGGTCCAGCTCCGAGGGCCTTCTGGCGGTTCCCTCACTGTGAGAAGTGAGGCTACAGGCAACCAGGCAGAGGGCCTTCTCGGTAGTGGCACCCGCCCTGTAGAACGCCCTCCTGTCAGATGTCAAGGAAATAAACTGACGTGCAGCGTAATTAATAATGCAGAGGTTTTTAATTGAATAAAATCTTTACTTAGTTAAAATAAACTTCTTCATAAACAACATGGTTCCAAACAGCTTGACTGAGATTACATACTGACTCTGTTTACAACTGAGGCAGACTGACTCTGTTCACAACTGAAATCTTACAGAGAGCACAAAGTGAAACTGGCTGCTAAGTCACATGTCAGAGTGACTCAACACCTAGAAGTTAGCAGTTAGGCCTGAATAACTTTAGTAGGCCCAAATGATTGTGCAGTCCCAGCACTTCCCAGCTTGCTTTGCTGCTTCTGCTCTCATATGTCTTTGTCACATGACATAAACATCTATCTGACTTTGAGAAGACATCTGAAGGCAAACCTGTTTAGGGAATTTTTTAATGTCTGATGTTTTATTGTGTTTTTAATATTATGTTGGGAGCCGCCCAGAGAGGCTGGGGAAACCCAGCCAGAAGGTTGGGGTATAAATATATTATTATTATTATTATTATTATTATTATTATTATTATTATTATTATGCTCAGTAGCACTTGGGAATGCTTTATCCTAACCCTTATATGTGTCAGTAACGTTGCAAAAAAGATCCTTGTTTCCCCCCCAACCCCCAGACGCTTTCCCGACCCCAAGAATTTACAGTTCAGCAGCGTATAAATACACATTAACTTGCAAATGACGTGGCATTTGGTGGTGTTTGCTCAAACTAATTTATTGCAACTATTTGCCTGATTTTTATTTGATTAGAATCATCACTGGGAAGAAGAAAATGTTGATGAGGAGGACTGCATGAAAGCACCAACAGTCATGAATTGCTTCTGGTGTCTCACAACTTATTTGCTCTCCAGTTTCCTTCCTGAGGATGTTAATTTGCTGATTTGCCCTTTATTCGACTTTCCTTTTCATCCTGGTAGAAGATGAGAGATAACAGCAACATCCAGAAAGGTCAAAAACACTGCCAATATTTAGAAACATATATTTGGGAAATATGCAGATAGTCATTATATGTTATGTATACATGTGCATTCCTTTTAGATCTATGTCCATCTATAGTACATGAAAGCCAGGGTGACGTATCGGTTACCGTGCAGGACTAGGACCAGGGAGACCTGGGTTCAAATCCACTTTTCCATGAAGCACACTGACTCACCTTGGGGCAGCCACACAGTCTAGCCCACTTCATAGGGTTGTTTAAGGATAACTGGGTGGCGAAGGTACTTCTTGCATTTGTTAACTACCTGGAAAGTACTTGTGGCAAAGAGGGTAACAGAAATGCCTTAAGAAGAAATCTAACACTAGTTAACATACTGACTCCAAAAAACCTGAGCAAAATTGCTTTGGCCAAAGAGGAGACGTTTTTATCAACAAGCTAGCAAGTATTGGAACATAACTGAGAATGCAGCGACGACTTCCTAAAACTAAACGGTAGAAGATAAATTTAAAATGTATCTTAAAAATTGTTGTAAAATTGATGAGTGTTAAAATGTCAAGGGATTGGGAAATAGAGAATTGTAGCTGTATTTGACAAGTTAGAGAAGAACCTAAAAGAAAATGAACTGATTAATTGGTTAACTGAGGGAGTTGCTGAAGAAATGTAAAAACAAGGATGCAGAAAAGGGGAGGCATGGGGAAGTCCGGGAAGCAAGGTTTATGAAAAGAAGGTTATGAAAATTATACATGTTTAATGTTTGTGTATTGTTTATTGTTTGTGTTTATTTTGTGTTTGAAAATTAATAAAAATTTAAAAAAAACAACATACTGACTCCAAATAAACTTGGAGAAGATGCATGAAGGAATTGAAGCCTGAAAGGAAGTGAATTTTTTACCAATAAGTATTTGCTAAAAAGTAGGAATCAGTAAGGAGGAAGAATAGGCTGCCTTTACGCCTTCTGCCTTGTCTCCTTTTTAGGTAACAATTGTTGTAGCTTTCCTCCCAACAGTGACGTCCTCCAAAGTACACTGGGAATTGCATTTTACCCCTCACAAAGCTACAATTCCCGACAGCCTTAACAAACTACAGTTCCCAGGATAACAGGGCAGTCTGCTTTCCAGTGTCTTGGGGGTGGGGCAGGATGAAGGTGGGGGGTGGAAGCTGCATTCCTAAAGCCTCGAACCTCAAACAGTCCAGCCCCTCTAGTTATTATGATTTTGAAAGGAAGGTCAAGCTGGGATGTTGAAAGATGAAACATCCGTTTTACACGTGTTTGTTTCAACCCTATCTTACCTCTTATTTACGATGCCGTCCTACATTAACTGTTACATTCTGCTTGCCATTCCTCTGGTACAACAGGAGAAACCAGTTCTTTAAACTTCTGCAAGGGACAAGCGGCTTCACAGCCCTGCAAAATGAACTTTCAGCAGCCAGAAACACCATAACCAGACACTGGAGAGACCTGTCAGGAGTAAGCATGGACCAATGGTACCAAATAGTATGGGAAACAGCCCTGCTAGAAAAATCAACCAATAAACTGAAACTGACACGGGAACAAATAGAAGAAGACACCTTCACCCCGGTATGGCTCCCCTTTATCACATATACAGCCCAACAAGACAATGACAATACTCCACCAACAGCATACAAATCAATATGGCTAACCTGATCCAAAACACCCACCCACCACACTCACACATGAAAACAAAGATCACCACAGCCAATCACAAACAAACAACCACACCCTAGGCCAGGGGTCTGCAACCTTTAAGACAAAAAGAGCCACTTGGACCCGTTTCCGAAGGAAAAAAAATGGGAGCCGCAAAACCGGGAAGGTGACGTTGGGATGGTGCGTGACTAACGCACGCACCGCCCCCATGTGACGTCACAGCCAGTACAGTGCCCGCCACAGTGGGGAGTGTCGGGGCGCACAATGTGCCTCCTCCCCTCTCTAGAATCCGCCCCGGAGCCGCGGCCAAGGTGTAAAAGAGCCACACGCGGCTCCGGAGCCGCTGGTTGCAGACCCCTGCCCTAGGCCAACCCCAACCTCTCTCACCACCAAAGAAACACAACTGAACAGCAGAGAACCTGCACGAGCAACGCTGACATGAAACCCTACATACATTAAGCAAAATAGAAACATCGCCACCCGACCCCCCCATCTTTCCCCCCCCCAATGTCTCAACAAATGAAACTGATTTGTAAAAATGTTACATGGAAAAAATACAAGAGACATTACACATACTTCTGTAAAACAAGAAAATCTTTAATAAAATAATAATAATTAAAAAAAAAAGATTTCAGGCAGGATCTCTCCCAGTCCCACCAGGAGATGCTGGGGACTGAACCTGATGCCTTCTGCATGCTAAGCAGTTGTTCTACCACTGAGCTATGGCCCTAGCTCACAATATTGCTGTCAGGATAAAATGGAGAAGGTGGAGGCAGAGGTGTATATGCTCTGTGGAGGAAAGGTGCGATAGAAGTGTAAGAAGGAATAAATTATGTAAACTAGCCTATAAGTGAATAAACTACAGTATATTTTTAACTTTTGACCAAACTGCGGGAGGCAGTGGAAGACAGAAGTGCCTGGCGTGCTCTGGTCCATGGGGTCACGAAGAGTCGGACACGACTAAACAACAACAACAAATATTTTTAACTTACTCTCCTAATAATTTGTATATAAATTCTAAAAGTGGTATATAAATTTGGTATTTTTTTAAAAAAGAGG